TTACAGGTGTGTGTCACCATGACCAGCCCTTTGTTTCCTTTTTTAATACCAAGTCTTACATTTAGGATTTAGGGCTCTTAATCCAAATGAAATAAGACAGATTATACATTTCCATATTTAACATCTCCAGTTTTAATAACACCACTGAATTGATTCTCCATCTTTTGGGTTATAAGTGATATGAAATAGTTCTGGACCAAAAGATGTCAGTTTGTCAGTGTTGTCAGTCAAGTGTGACAATAACAAGGATCATCAGAAAGGTCAAGAGCAGACACCTTTGATGCTTTCTGATTTAAAACAAGCAATGTACATCTTTCTAGGTATTACTATTTTTAGTCTCCTAAGTTTGTTCCTTCTGAGAAATTAAGTGAAAACACTTTTAAAATCATATGAGCCTGCTTAGACTAAAGATACTAAAAAGCAATTTTAAATTAAAAACTAGATACTCTTGTGTCTTGTGTCTTGTATGGGGTGTCTTAACACCAGGTGGTCACCTCTTAGATTTGGTAGGAAGAAGCCATTGTTACTTAACATCATCCTACACAGAAACAGTTTGTAAAGGAAGCTATACTAAATTGTTCAGTTCTGGTAAAATGGTATTCCAATCATCTTCACAACCATTATAACTATGTACAAAGTGACTCTATTCCAGTCATTCCTGTAAGATAACTTTTGACAGTTTAGTTCTTAGTAACTTTATTAGTTTCCTTCCTTTTAGAACTGTACATTTGATTTCTCAATTCTGTTTGCAATGCAGAAAATTATAATCAGATGTGACATGTCTATAAAAATAATTTTGTTTGACATAATAGACCATTACCTTCAATGAACAGACATAAGAATGGCTTTCAATGTCTACTGATAATATTCTACAAATATCATTTTGGAATATGACTTTGGTTCACAAATATATCCACAAAATGTTTGCATATGGAATGAGCAAAGCATATAAAACATTTCCTATGTATGTAAATTGCATCTTCATACTAGCAAACAAATAACAATTGAAAATAAATGCAATTCATTTTTGGATGTCAGTTCACATTGTCAAAAAGTCATGTAATAATAATAAATACACATTCTGCCTGCTCCTTGAACCCTGAATTTTGCACACCAGAGGTTTAATTTTCAAGTGTTGAACTCTACTCATTGCATTGCATGAAACACTAAGGACAGGTCACCAATTTATTTTAAAGAAATCTGCATAGCAATGAGAGTTTTTGAGTAACCTGGCAAGATTTGCAAACTTTCAGACACTTGATTCTGAAATCATATATGGTAATTTGTGAATGTTAGATGTGTTGATAGAAGGAAAGCTTTGGAAATTCTCAGTAGATTGAGAAGAACTTCTTCCTGGGTCCTTTGTTTATGACTTAATGCTCCTGGAATCATCAAGGTGGCTCAACCAATAAAAGCACTTGCTACATAAGCCTGAGGATCTGAGTCTATTCCCTAGATCCCATGATGGAAGGGGAGTTACCAATTATACATGGATGCACACATATAGTAAAATAAAGAATGCTGCTCCTTGGGCTGGGAAAATCACACACACACACACACACACACACACACACACACACACACACACACACACCAATAAAGGAACTGCTGCTCCTGGGGCTGGGGTGTATACTACAAATACAAGTCTGTGGATCTGGAGCACCCACTTTAAAAAAAAAAAAAAAAAGCTGGGGTTAGTAGTAGCACTTGCCACTAACCAAGGAAATGGTAATGAGATCCCTAGGGATTCATGACCCATCTAATTTAGCTATTTGGAAAGCTACAGGTTTAGTGAGAGACCATGTCTCAAAAAGCAAGATGAAGCCAGGTGTGGTGGTATACATCTTTAATTCCGGTACTTGGGAGGCAGGGAAAAGGAAGATCTCTGAGCTCAAGGCCAACCTGATCACATACCAAGCTAGTCAGGGCTACAGACCTTGTATCTATGTAAGCAAAGAAAAACCTAAATACCAATAACTAAGAGGTATCACACATTCGCCCATTTGAAGATGTGTGGCTTTCAGGAAGACCCAAAAGTGAACACATGAAGTTATGCTAAGAAAATACCTACCAAATGTGTTGATGTAAATATTTTGTTCCCCCTACATGAATAGTATAAATGAAAGATTTAGAATGTAAATGGTATGCTTTTATTATAGGTAATTTGATTATAGAAATATAACAGCTCTGACACAAGTTTCAGAACATAGAAGGTGAGTCCCATGGGAAATGATAGTGGAAGGCAATAAATACATAAAATAACAAAATGTGATTAGATATAATGGATTTATATCAATAGTCATGGACATTTTAGTAGACTCTGACAAACTTTAAATACACATGGGATATTTACAAAAGCAGTAAGACCTCGGAGTAAAGTACAGAATTTAGGCAACTGTGTAATTCACCTATGAAGCCAGACATGGTGGCAGCACTAAAAAGAAGAGTTGGAATTCAAGGCCAGCCTCTGAAGTATATAGCAAAACCCTATATAAAAAAAAGTTTTAATTGACTATTAAAACATTACAAAAGCTCCATATGCTCATGTGCTTGAAATTAAAATTCTAGAACATTAAATCATGTTGAAAATTAGAGAATGCTTCTATAAATGTAAACATTCCTTAAACTAAAACTGAACCCATTAAATTCCAGGTTTTTTTTTTAATGTGTAGTTACCATTGTATATGCAAATTACATGTTAATTATAAATATCTCTTCACACAAAAGTTTCTGCTCCAAATGGCAGACATATTTATCTTTGTTCTCAAGCAGCTCTGAGGATGTATAGCACATAATGAGATTAATAGGTTTTTGTTTTTAGATTTTGTTTTTGTAAAGAATATGTGATTAAGGGTTTGTATAAGTGTGATGCCCACAGAAGCCAGAAGATGGCATCAGAGACCCTGGATCTAAATTAACAACAGGAAGTGAGCTGACTACCATGAGTGCTGATAACCAAATGTGGTCCTCTCTAAGAGCAGCAGTTCTCAATCACTGCATCAAATCTCCAGCCCTACAGCTGGCCAAGTACTTGTAAAATAACAACGTGTTCATCTAACACAATGTGTGGCGACTGCCCTAAATTTGGTTTTCTCAAGGATACTTGAAAACACAAAAAGGACCTGAATGAGGACCACACTTATAAAGTACCTACTGCCCCTAGCTCCTATTCCTGTCTATAAATTACCCTTTGAGATCTGGGGTCATCTAAGAGGATCTCTGTTGGCAACAGAAAAGCTTTGATATCTTTCCAAATGAATTTTTTTATTTTGTTTTGTTTTGTTTCTCAAGACAGGGTTTCTCGTGGCTTTGGAGGCTGTCCTGGAACTCACTCTGTAGACCAGGCTGGTCTCACTCACAGAGATCCCCTTGCCTCTACCTCCCGAATGCTGGGACTAAAGGCATGCACCACCAATGACTGGCTTGCTTTGCTTTGTTTGTAATGTCAGTGTAACTGTAAACTCAGAAATACTATAGTGATACACTACAAATGCCTTATACACTTCCTTGGGCACACTTCCTAGTGATTTCAGGCAAATCTTGAGAGAGAAATGAGTATGAGGAGTAGCCAAAGGGAGGTGGAAATGATGGTGAATGTTCATTTGAGAATTCAAACCTGGCCTTAGAGTCATACAAGGGGCTAGAAAGATGGCTCAGTGTAGTTAAGGGCTCTTGCTTTTCTTGCAGAGGAACTGGGTTTGGTTCCCATGACCAGAATAGTAGCTCACAGCTGGTACTACAGTTCTAGGAAATCCAATACCCTCCAAAAGAATTTTTAAACTTTTTCTTTATCCAAATGAATCTTTTTCCTTGTCTCACTACTTGTCCTCAAGTCATTGGTATTTGAAGATAGAAATCTAGACCTGGTTGGGTAACACTATTAGGATTTCTCTTTAAAGGGGATAAAACACAGGTAGACTTTAAGATAACACACTACTTGGGGCCTTTAGAAAACAAGTCATTGTTTTTTATCTTTTTACATCTGACAAAAACAAACCCCTAAACTCACTAATACTTACTTGTAATTACTACTTTTCTACGTGTAAAGATCCTTACAACTACTCTTTCTTCAGAACATTTTTTTTTTTTTTTCAAGGAAACTTGTGTTGATTTCCTAGTCTAAGTTGCTCACATACAGCTCAGAATAAATTTTCGTGTTAAAGGGCTGGCCCCAAACTTAGGAGAAAACTTTACTACCTTAGTCTGCCGAGTGCTATGATTTCAGGAATGGGTCGCTATACCCAGCTTTTAATATCAGGGGGAGGGAAAGTGATGGGAGAGGAGGGACTGGAACTACATCTGTTTGATGAGTGTTATAATTGCGGGAATGAGTCCTATGCCCAGCTTTTAATATACCTGAGAGCATGCAGAGAGAAGGGGAGGCTAGGCTGGGAGAGGAAGGACTGTGCGGCTAAGCAAGCATTTTACTACTTAACTGTATCTCCAGCCGTTATTTTACTATGCAGCTCATTTTCTTAAATCACCATACACATTAATAGTTGTAAAGGAAAAACCACAACGGTGTACATGGAGGGTGCTCTAAGGAAGGCAATGGACTCAAGGTTTTTCGAGACTGGGTTTTTCTGTGTAGCCCTGGCTGTCCTAGAGCTCGCTCTGTCGACGAGGCTGAGCAACCTGCCTCCGCCTCCTGAGTGCTGCGATCAAAGATGTGCGCCACCATAGCCCGGCTGGACTTTTTTCCAGTTCTCTTTAGGTTAAGTCTAAACACAAAGTGTTTTAAAAGATTTTTAAAACAGAGCCCGGAGCGTGCAAGGAAAGCCCCCTAGTATTACGCTCTGTGCCTGGCTCCGAAACTGAATCATTCTTCGGGTCAAGACATTTCCAAACATTTTCGGCTACGATGGACGCTTCCGTCAGTCTCACACTGACCGCTTTCCCGCAAACTATTATCCACTTCCGGCGTAAAGCGCGGAGGCCCGGAATCCTCTCCTGCGCATGCGCGTCGCTCTCACCCTCTCAGAAGTGGCGAAATTGCTGACGTCACCGCCAGACTGGGTCGCTGAGAGACCGGCGGGAACTTTTCAAAATGGGAGCACCGAGGCGCCGCCCAGGCCTCAGGAGATACCGGGGGTACTTTTCGGTGGCGTTGGCGACGTCGTCAGCGGCGGCGGCATAGAGAAGGCAGCCTGATGGGCGCCAAGACCCGCTGGCTGCTCGGAGCGCTGCCTCGGAGGGACTGCGAGACGGCCGAGTCCGGGGCGCCGGAGGCCCGGGAACATGGCGGCGTGCATCGGGGAGAGGATCGAGGTGAGGCGGGCAGACGCGGAGCTGAGGGAAGGTCCGGCTGAGGCGAGCCCAGTGCTGGAGGGAAGGTCCGGCTGAGGCTTGGTACAGACACGGGTGAAGCGAGGCGGGCGGGCGCAGACTGAGCGACACCCTGTTCAAGGCGCTCACTGGTGCTCAGTGACCCACTATGACCCACTAGCAGCAGGCCAGGGCGCTGCTGCGGGCGAACAGTGGAGAGGCGGGCGGGCGCCAAGGTAGGACTGATGGTGGAGAGGCGGGCGGAGCGGCCCGCCCCTCGGAGCCACCCCTACCCCCGCCGGGGGTGCCTGGTACCCAACAGGTGTGTCTCCAGCTGTGGGCCCCGCCCGGTCCCCATCCCTTGGCGTCTGTTCTGCACTCCCGCCTCCAAAGCCGCGCTCAGGGAGCTGCTCTGCCTGCTCCTCCCCGGGGATGGCAGTTAGCCTGGCGGGAGCTGCGGCGGGAGCCTGGTACACGGGAGAAGGGGACCTAACTAACCAGCTCATTAGAGGAGTCAGTCTGGATCCTCACTGGAGCTCAGGAAAGTCCCGCGGAGCATCAAGATGCCATACACCCCAGACTCCTGCATTATCGAGGTCTGCTGGCTGCTTGAAACTTGTCATATTTCTGCTCTGGCCCATTTTACCAGATTTATTACAGTTCCTACCTAAGTTTCTTAATTTCTAGTTCTGAGAGTCATCACATATAATCTTTAATTTTTTTAAGGACTTTAAGGTTGGAAATCTACTTGGTAAAGGATCATTTGCTGGTGTCTACAGAGCTGAGTCCATTCATACCGGTTTGGAAGTTGCAATCAAAATGGTAAGAATGTATTAATGACCCTTTCTCCAGTATTTTGCAAGAAACTAGAGAGCATGCTATTAAAATGTCAGGGTCTAGTAGAGGCTGTACACACTGCCACCCTACTGTGTGTGTGTGTGTGTGTGTGTGTGTGTGTGTATACACTCAGGCATAATACATTGTATAGCCAAAAGATAGCATTGCTAAGTGCAGCAGCTGAACTTAAGGATATTTAGAGACCATTAACCTTGCTTAAATGAAGGTTTTATACTTTATTCGTGTTCCAGAGACTAGTACATTTTGTTACTATTAAGGTAAGTGGAAGAAGTCAGAACAATGTATTTATTTATGTGTGGCCATAATAATCCAAACTACCACTATTGTTGAGCATGGTGGTGCATGCCTGTAATCACAGCTCTGAGGAGTTGGAAAAAGATAATCAGAAGTCCAAAGCCAATCTCTATTATCACAAGAATGTATTGGATATACAAGGGTCAAACATAGAGAAGAGTAAGTTGACTTCAAAGACATAAAAAGACTTCAGACAATTGTAGATTGATGTTGGGCTTCTGTCTGGGCTTAGTAGGGGTATAATGTGTATATGTGTGTGTGTGTGTGTGTACACTCACACATAATACATTAAATAGCCAAAAGACAGCGTTGCTAAGTGCTTTCCTGTACCTTGCACAACGCCCTGGGTTCAAACCACAGGATCATTAAAATCAAATAAATCTGGCCTCTCTTATTTTTAGATAGATAAGAAAGCCATGTATAAAGCTGGAATGGTTCAGAGAGTCCAAAATGAGGTGAAAATACATTGCCAGTTGAAACACCCTTCTATTTTGGAGGTAAGATACAAGGTGTGTAGAAGTAGTTAAGAAAGCTTGATATTTGTATAATTAACTTCACCCTTTTCTGTTTTAGCTTTATAATTACTTTGAAGATAACAATTATGTATACCTGGTATTAGAAATGTGTCATAATGGAGAAATGAACAGGTATCTAAAGAACCGAATGAAACCTTTCTCAGAAAGTGAAGGTAGGTGTCTTTTGGGGGGTAAGGGTAGAGTTTTTCCCTTTTTTTTTTTTTTTTTTTTTTGTTTGGTTGGTTGGTTTTTTGTTTTGTTTGTTTGGTAAACACTTGGCTTTTGAAGTTGTTTTGAAAATGTGCTCTTTGTAATATTTAGTAAAACATTTGTTGTATGTTTTTGAGACAAGGTCACTCTATGTAGCTCTTGCTGTCCTGGATGGAATTCAATATATAAACCAGGCTGATCTTGAACTGACAGAGAGGCTCCCATGTTTGCCTCCCAAGTGTTGGGACTAAAGGTGTATGCCACTACATCAAGCTTGTGTGTGTGCACGTGAATTTTTATTTTACATGTATGAATGTTAACTGCATGTGTGTCTGTGTGCCACATGTGTGCCTGGTGCCCAAGGAGTGCAGAAAAAGGCTTTATATTCTCTGGAACTTGATTGTGAGCCACTGTTTGGATATTGGGAATCCAGGTCCTCTGAAGATCAGCCAAGACGCTTAACCACTGAACAGTCCTTTCAGCATCAACAATTTCTTTTTGTTGTAGTTGTTTTTAAGCCATTTGTATGAGTGTGCATCTATGTATAGGTATATGCATGTAGTTCATGCAAGTAGATGCCCATGTCCATGGAGGTTTAACAAGGAAGCTGGAAATAGAACTTGAGTCCTCTGTAAGAGCAGTATGTACTTTAAAAGCTGAGACACTTCTCCAGCCACAAATAAAACTATTTCAATTATTATTTAATCAAATTGTGTCCCGACAAAAGCTGATACTTATAAATCACATATCACATTAGAGAGAGGAATTTGTTGGCCTTCTGTTCTCCAAAACACATTTTCATTTAAATCATTGGTAATAATTTACTGTATATCCTTTCAAATCTAGAAAACTACTTATGTGTTTGATGACTAAAGTTTCCAAATAAATGTTGAGAGCACTGTGCTGGAAATCCTTTAGCTTATTGTTCAACTTTTAAAAGCTTGGAGTAATTCAACTTCCCCGTGTAATATATCTTTACAATAGAGATTTAAATGGACATAGTAACAAAGGTTTTCCAAACTTAATATTTTTCTGTGAAATACAAAAGGAATTTCAACTAATCCCCTCACTTTTCAAATCAGATAAGGTCCATATATTGTGAATCTACTTTAGATGTTTTTCCCCCAAGCTATGACTGATTTTGATATTGTAGATAGAGCTAAGAAACAAGGCTAATGATAGGTTTTTGTTATGTGGTGTTATGGTCAGAGATCAGCTCTGGGGAGTTGACTCTCTCCTTGTATCATGTGGATTCCCGATATAAAACTCAGCTCATCAAACTTGGTAGTAAGCACCTTTACCTGCTGAACCATCACACTGGCCTGATAGAGCTTTATACATTTAAATCTCTTTGAAATAGTTGTTAACTTGTGCTATATTGTAGAAATGTTGATAAGCTTTCTCTCAAATTCCATTGATAAAGGTTTATTCTGAGGGCTGGATAGATGGCTCAGTTTTTAAGAGCACTAACTGCTCTTCTTAGAGGACCCTGGTTCAACATCCAGCACCCAAATGACAGCTCATAACTGTCACAGTTCTAGGTCCAGAGGACCCTATACCCATGTTAAAACACCAGTACACATAAAATAATACAAATTTTTTTTAAGAATTTTATTCTGTGGAAATAATACAAATGGGGAATCCATACACATAGATGGTAGATGGTAGTTTCTGTTTTTCAGACTTCTTTGAAAGATTTTTTTTTTAAAATAAAGGCTTTATTGACTAGATAAAATTTATTAAAAAAAAATAAATAAATTCTCTTAGCCTGAATTAAACTTAAAAACTTACATGCAACCAAAGATGTATCTCCTTCCCACCAACAGAGTTTAAGACAAAGATGGAAAGAAAATACCTGCAAAATGTATGACTATAGGGTTGAAGCTATAATTTAGTGTTTGCATGTTTATTCAACATGCATGTACAAGGCCCTAGGTTCCTTATTTTCTACTTACAAATTTGCATGTGTACATTGTCTATAACTAAAACATTCATGTTGAAAAATCAGATGTGCGTCTAAAAGGGAAAGGATAATCAAATAAGAAACTAGAGTGTATGGAGCAGAATATTCATAGAGGAGAAAGCTCAAATAACCAATAAACATGAATAAATACAGACTTAATAGTAGTCATGAGAGTGCTAACCAAAATAACTAAGGACCATTTTCACACAGTGAATTGAGACTATTTGATGTTAATAGGTAATATATTAAATTAAATATTAAATAAAAATTAAATATTAAAAGGCTGACTTGCCGCTGGGCGGTGGTGCCACATGCCTTTAATCCCAGCACTTGGGAGGCAGAGGCAGGTGGACTTCAGTGAGTTCAAGACCAGCCTGATCTACAAGAGCTAGTTCTAGGACAGCTTCCAAAGCCATAAAGAAACCCTGTCTGGGAAAAAAAAAAAAAAAAAGAGGCTAACTTGCTAAGGTATGATGAAACTGACTAATTTTCATATCTCTAAATATATATGTATAGAATATATATACCATAATGCATAAAAACTCAGAGAACATGTATACAGAAAGTAAACATGCACAAGAATGTTTATTCCTATATTATTTGTAATCTTGAAATATCAGAAATTATACAAATGTTAAAAAGCAATTAATAAAGATCAATGATATTAGAGAAATAACTTTAAGATGTACACTGAAGAAAGGTAATAAAACTACTTTTATACCATTTTTTAATAGTTTAAAAACATTTATAATATGTATATAGTTTTATTGTAAGCATGCAGAAAATACTAAGGAATATATTAAATGTTTACAGTGGAGGTGTGTAAAGTTCTTGCCATGCAAGTGTGAGAACTGGGGTCTGGTCCCATGAAAATGCTTGGATGGGTGTGGCAGCTTATCATACTTGGCACTCAGTAACTAAAAATAAGATTTGCCCTAGCAACTGATATGTTTATGCCTTATTTATATGATTTTAAATAATTTTCTTTAAAGCTTATATATTCATGTATTTTATGTAGATGACAGTTCTGAATTCATGCACACCAGAAGGAAGAATCTGATCCCATTACAGATGGTTGTGAGCCACCACGTGGTTCTGGAAATTGAATTCAGAACTTTTAGAAGAGCAGTCACATGTTCTTCACAGAGCCATCTCTCCAGCCCCTAAATAATTTTCTTAAATTTTATGGCTATCTGGTTACCCTGGTTACCGTACATACTCTGAACTGATGTAAAATCTGGCTTCCCTTAGCTCATAAATTAGAAAAGGCAAAGAGTAAAAGGAGTGGATATCTAGCATATCACTAGAGTGATGTTTTAGTTGGTTAATCTAAACTAGGTTTTATCGTGTATTCTAAACTGGATTGTCTATAACTTTTGAATTGTTAAGTTATGTTTTTTTCTATCTTCACAGCTAGGCAATTCATGCATCAGATCATCACAGGAATGTTGTATCTTCATTCTCATGGCATATTACACCGGGACCTCACACTCTCTAACATCTTACTTACACGTAATATGAACATAAAAATTGCTGACTTTGGACTAGCAACACAATTGAAAATGCCACATGAAAAGCACTACACACTCTGTGGAACTCCTAATTATATTTCACCAGAAATTGCAACTCGAAGTGCACATGGACTTGAATCTGATATTTGGTCGTTGGGCTGTATGTTTTATACATTACTTATTGGAAGACCACCTTTTGACACTGATACAGTCAAGAATACATTGAATAAAGTAGTATTGGCAGATTATGAAATGCCAACCTTTTTGTCACGAGAGGCCCAGGACCTTATCCACCAGTTACTTCGTAGAAATCCTGCAGATCGGTTAAGTCTGTCTTCTGTGTTGGACCATCCTTTTATGTCACGAAATCCTTCAACAAAAAGTAAAGACTTGACTGTAGAGGATTCAATGGATAGTGGGCATGCCACAATTTCCACAACAATCACAGCTTCTTCCAGTACCAGTTTGAGTGGTAGTTTACTTGACAGAAGAAGACTTTTGATTGGTCAGTCACTTCCAAGTAAAATTACGGTATTTCCAAAAAATAAGAATTTAAGTGACTTTTCTTCAGGAGATGGAAGCAATTTTTGTACACATTGGGGAAACCCAGACCAAGAAACTAATAATAGGGGACGGGGAAGAGTAATTGAAGATGCAGAAGAAAGGCCGCATTCTCGATACCTTCGAAGAGCTCATTCCTCGGATAGGTCCAGCACTTCTAATCAGTTTCGAGCAAAAACACAGTCAATAGAACGATGTCATTCAGTAGAAATGCTTTCAAAGCCCAGAAGATCCCTGGATGAAAATGAAGAGAGGTATTTACCCACAAACAGCAATATCAATTTTTAATTTCCTTAAAAACAAAACCAGTTTGTAATCTTTACCAAGATCTGATGATGACCAAGCAGTGTAGGGTTAATTCTTTCAAAGGCATTTTGATAAACATTGTATTAGCACAGACTCAAAGCTGCAAACAAAGTGGGGTTATAGAATAGAATTAGAATTAAAATTTTGAGCCAAGCATGGTAGTACATATTCCTAGAAGAACATGGGAAGGAAGCACTGGTAGAAGGATCATGCAGCTGAATCCAGTCTGTGTGACAGCAAGTTCTAGGGTAGTCTTTTCTTTCAAACCAAAAAAGGCTTTTATGCTATTATCGGTTAATGTCTCTTAAAAGTGCAATATAGGCTGGTTAGATAGAGCTCAGAGGGAAAACAGTGGGTTAACATGCATAGTGCCTTCATGTCAATCCTCAGCACTGCAAATAAAAGTGAATATGTTCATAAATGTGTTTAAACCTTTAGATGTGTTATTTTGAGTAGATCTAACACAACTTATCATTTATTGAGACAAGTCTGATCCCTAAATTAGTGATAGTAACTGCATGTAGAGGGAAGCTGAGGGTGAATGAGGAGTAGCTGTGATACTGTTTCTTATAGGAGCACTAAATTTTGGTGCTTAATTGGGCTTTTGTATGTGATCTTTTAATGTTTGAATTACAAATTTCTAAAAAGATAGTAGACATACAGTGATGCCATTATAGTGCCATGGCATTTTGGCATAGGAATTTTAGAGACCACTGTTTTCTGTAATTTTAAAATTTCAGTTATTTAAATCTCTTCTAGGGTTTCTGCTTTAAAATGTTTAGGGACTGGGAATTCTGTCATAGAACATATATTCAGTGTGTACATACATATGTACCCCTAGGTTCTGTCCCCAGCTCATTCTTCCCCAATAATTGCTTTATGGGATTTTTTTTTTTTCCCCTTTAGTTCCAATCATCATTGTCTAGGAAAAACTCCTTTTCCATTTGTAGACCAGACACCTCAGATGGAAATGGTACAACAATGGTTTGGGAATCTGCAAATGAATGGTAAGTTTTTTGTTTCCTTTTTCTTTCTTTTTTGAGACGGGATTTCTCTGTATTGCTTTGGAACCTGTCTTGGAACTAGCTCTGTAGACCAGGCTGGCCTCAAACTCACCTAGATCCGCATGCCTCTGCCTAGGGATTAAAGTGCTGGGATTAAAGGCATGTGCCACTACACTTGAGTGGTAAGATTTTAATGGAGCATTTAATTAAAATTTAATGACCTGGAACCGGAACTTGCCAAACATTGCAGTTTTCTGCTTATATCTAAGAAAACAGTTCCAATGAAACATATTCTAGAAATTTCAATGAAACATTCTAATAATAAACCGTTAATATTTTTGAATATTTAAGCTACTCTCCTTAATATTCATTGTGTATGATTAGTTTATTACACTTACATTACATATATGAAGAAAGCTATTTATGCATGAGCAAATAGAACACAACTCAGTTTGCACTACTGCTCTGTGATCATATAGAATAAGGTTTCTTTGGTAGTTCTGGCTCAGGCTGGACCTTGAAGCCCGTTCTGGTGATGGCCTGTGCTAAAAACTGCTGTTATCAATGCCTATGAAGTAATCAAAGGATGCCTGACTTTACTTGTGAGAAGCTGATGTGAGAATTTTAGTTTGCCAATAGTTCCTCATACTGAAATACACAGCTACTAAAATCCAAACATTTAAGCAGCTGGCCCTAGGTCATTATTAAGAATGTGGAGATTAAGTGTCCCCCATTAATGAACAACATTCACAGAAGGTGGGTGGGAAATAGTGGTGGGAAAAGAGAATTAAAAGGCAGCATCTGGAGGAGGAGATCATCTTTCACCATTGTGTTGTTTGGAGTGTGAGATAATAGCTCTCATTAGGCAGAGTTGTTATGCCCTGTCAAGAGGAGTCTGTTTTCCTTCTCAAGAAATATGTATGATTTTCAGAAGTCTCAAAGGGAATCAGTCCGACCATATATATTTATTAGTTTGTTTTTTTAAACTACAAAACTGCCCTGTACATTAGCCTTGCAGTCTTGTACTTATTTACGGTTATTTTTATTTAGTAATATGAGCTATTCTGAGATGGAGAAATAACCTCTCTATATAATAAATACAGTCATTATGCTCCAATTTAAAATATTTTACTTGATAGAAAATATTTTCCCTTATATTGAGAATGCGAGGACAAAAAGCTTTAGTCATTTAAGATAAAATTGTGTTAAAAATTCAGAGAGTTTAATACTGGGAGGCTAGACTTCTATACAATTGATCATTTAAGGCCTTAAAAAGAAAAATACCATCAGGATATGGTGGCCTGTTCCTTTAATTACACAACTTGGGAGGCTGAGGCACAGGGACCATGACTTCAAGAGTAGCTAGGCCATATAAGTGAGACCCTGTCTCAAAAAAAAGAAATAAGACAATTAAGATTTACCATAGAGAGTTTTATGTAGTTGTTTATTTAAGACCCTTTTAGAAATGGGAACTCTAGGGCTAGAGAGATGACTCAATGGTTAAGAACACTCGATGCTTTTCCCAGAAGATCCAAGTTCAGTTCCCAGTACCCACAGCAGCTGCCTTACAGTCACTTGTAACTGAGGTTTAGGAGACCTGATAGTCAGCACTGCATGTACATAGTAGTGCACATATACAGAAAAGAACACATGCACACACACATACACACACACAAAAACAAAACCTTTAAAAGGTCAACTCTGAAACCATGTGAAATATCAATATATAGAATTCTATGAGAGCTTTTAAATATATGGGTACAGATACATTTGTAATATTAGAGATACTAAAGGTCACTACCTTGGTTTTAGTTTCACATTTTCTAAGTAGAGATTGATAAACATTCCCTATACTAAGAAAATTTACTATTTTTTTCTTCTATAGACTGGAAATTCTTCTCAGAAACCCTTCTGACCAACATTGACTTGTTTTAGAATAAGTAATTTGGTTTTGCTTTGATTAAAATTGATTTCTCCAGGCAGTGGTGGCACATGCCTTTAATCCCAGCACTTAGGAGGTAAAAGCAGGCAGATATTAGTTCTAAGGATACTAAAAGTTTTCCTTCAACCTGGCTTTAAATGTTCCTTTAATTACTTTTTGTCCTTATTTATTAAGAGCTCATTTTCTTAATAGCTTTCTAAAAAGAAATCTTTATATATTTAAGATATATAATGTTATAAATAGTAAAACAGTTACTGTGGAAGAAATTAGCATATCTGTCATCTCAATGTAATTCCACAATTCCCCCATTGGTAAACAACAGCTACAATTTACTGATTTAAAGAGAGTTCTAAGTATAATGCACAAATGTTTATAATTGACTTTTTCTATTGTTTTAAAAGGTGCTATTTAGAGTCAATGTATGGTGTAGCATGCTTTTAATCCTAGCATTTGGGAGCCCAAGGCAGGCCCATCTGTTGAATTCAAGGTCAGCCTGCCTAGTAAGTTCTAGGACAATCAGGGCTACATAGAAAGAGCCTGTCTTCAACCCCCAATACCCCCACCAAAATGCTACTATAATCAGCACATTATGCTACATTTTACTCAACTGCTTTTTAAATGTATATTTTAGCTCGTTTGGGAGAAACGAATGAGCACAACACCACTAGCCCAAGCAGAGATTTCCAGGGCTATCCAGATTCACGGGACATGTTAAGAAATGCTTGGACTGATAGAAGAGCCAGCAAGAACACTGATACTTCTGCTAATCTTCATCATGTAAACCAGCTGAGTACGACAAAGTACATGACTGCACATCACAGTAAACCTGAGATCATGCAACAGAAGATGGCCTTACATCCTCGTTCTGAACAAAGCAAGAATAGGAGTATGGAGTCAACACTGGGTCACCAGAGCCCTTCCTTACGAAGCATTACATCTCCTTTGATTGCTCACAGATTAAAACCAATCAGACAAAAAACTAAAAAGGCTGTGGTAAGTCAATTATTTTTTCTAATTAACTATTTGATGTTTTCCTTGCAATACAATTCTTAAATGTGATCTCTTTTTTTTGTTTGTTTGTTTGTTTTTGTTTTCTATATCGTCTTTGGAATCCAAGATACTATATAAACTTAACATTTAAGGAAAAAGTGGGTATTCACAGAAAAATAGCCTTTCCTTTCCTCTGGTTTAGATAGGTAGTATTTGGGTTTTGTTGTGTGTGTTTTAAGAGTTTCCAATAGGCAATCCAGGCCAGCTGTTGATCTGTGCTCCTATTGTCTCCGCCTCATTGATGCTGTGATTGTAGGTGTGAACCACCACCCTGGGGTCCTCTAGCTTTTGAAAATGGCAAGTTGATTCTGATGTTTGTAACTTTGAAGTTAGTGATTTGTTTTTTAAAAATATATTTATTTTGATTTTGTGTTTGAGTGTTTTATCCACATGTATGTAATGTATGTATGGGCACTACGTGCTTGCCTGGTGCCCAGGGAGTCCAGAAAAGGGCATTAAGTTCCTTGGCATTGGAGTTACAATCAGTTATGAGCAAACATAGATTCTGGGAAATGAACCAAGAGTAACAAATGCTCTTAACCACTACACTACCTCTCCATCTCCTAAATTATTTATATTTAAAAGGCAGCTAAATGAAAATATTTTAAAATAATACTGGCTACATGCTATGTTAAATTCTTTATTTACACCTCCAGCTGGTGATTTTCTATATTTAATTTTGTTTCAAATCAAGAGTAAGTTAGAAAATACAACTTTTAAAAAAGGACAACTAAAATTAAAGTAATATGCATTTCTGAGTTTAAAATTTACTGAGCATATGTGAAGATGAAATAATTTCTTTGTGATTCCATCTTGATCCTGTTTGTTCTTTGTTTCCCATGTCATCTAGTCTTGCCTTTGTTCCCCCCCATCCCCAATTGTTTTCAGAGTCCTTGTTCTCCACCCTACCTTCTGCTTGCTTTCTACTCATTGGTTAGCATTTCACACTTAATTACACAGTCTCACCTTTATACCTTCTGGCTCACAACTGTACCCAAGTATAGTCTCTGTTCTAGACTGCCAAAGTGAAGCAGCAGTTGGATTTTGTTATTTCTGCTATGGTTGGGTACTTTTCCCTCTTAAGTATTATGTGCCAGAAGTGTTCTTAAAAAACAAATTATTGATTTTTCTGTTTCTCTAGGTGAGCATCCTAGATTCAGAGGAAGTATGTGTGGAGCTTCTAAAAGAATGTACATCTGAAGGACATGTGAAAGAAGTTCTTCAGATATCCAGTGACGGGACTATGGTAGTGTACCAATTTTATTCATTTGCAATTTTAGATGTGACTTTAAACATTCAGCATTGAATTCTTTATACAATATGTATTGAGTCTGTATCTTTGGAATTCATGAACTGAAAAATAATAATTATAACTAGTAATAAAATTAAAACTTTACGTTAGGATACTTTATTACTTTTAGAAACTATCTCAATATTTTTTTAAATTAATGTTTAACATAGAACCTTGTATACTTTTTGGAAACAAAGGATAATACTTAAAAGCATATAACTACAACTTTCATTTATTTATTTTTTTAATCAGATCACTGTTTATTACCCAAATGATGAAAGAGGCTTTCCTCTTTCTGATAGACCACCCTTGCCTACTGACAAGATCAGTAGATACAGCTTTGACAATTTACCAGGTATGTACATTTTCAGGAGATGGAATGAGATAATAGATTTATATACACATAGATTCTGTATGTGTGGTTGTGGTAAGTTGTAACTTCCTTGGCTTTAGTCTGGCTGCTGATCATATTCATGTACTGGGAAGATCTGGTGTATCTTACTACTCCACATCCTATTGTTCTTATATGCTGCCACAAACCTCTTAAGTGAAAATTAGCTCTGAAGTATTAGTAACATCAGAGCTATATATAGCCTGTGCTTTTGTTTAGTTATTGTTCTATGTAGAATCATCTAAATTTTCAACATGGAGTATCTAGTTTTTCACACTTGAAATCACTGCAGTAATATATTAAAATAATTTATAATTGTTGGTAACCAACTATGTACTGCGTAAGCCCCTAGAAGCTTTGATTTGGAGAAATAATTACTTAATAGTTTTAACTTTCAAAACCAAGAAAGTTGTCCAACCTTTCCAGGAATAAGAATGCAGATACAACTGTATGTTTAGTCAATTCTTTCTTTCTTAATATTACATATATTTTTCTTCTTTAGAGAAATACTGGCGGAAATATCAGTATGCTTCCAGATTTATTCAGCTCGTAAGGTCTAAAACTCCCAAAATCACTTATTTTACAAGATATGCTAAATGTGTTTTGATGGAGAATTCTCCTGGTGCTGATTTTGAGGTTTGGTTTTATGATGGTGAGTATACTACATGTGATCTGGTTTTTAATGGCTGTACACCCCACAGTTTATCTGTAATATATGAGATATCTAGTCCTATTCTCTGCTTAGCTTGGCATAAACTGCATGAAAAACAATATCCATATCTTATTTGAAACACAAATGGACAGGTTTAACAGACAGTCTCTTTGAGCTTTCTCTGGAGTTGATTTGTCTTTAACCATCTCTCTTCATTAAAGGGTCCCATGTACACATCACAGCACATGGTTATAGTATCCCTGCTATCCTGTATGAACTTGGTGCAGCCCGATCAGACACATGCTGAAAAGGGAAAATGATGCCTTAACATTTGTTGGATACTTGGAGTGCTGTTTTACAAACAATCAATAAATGATATAAATAACTTTTCTGACAGCCATGAACTAGTATAATAATGAATTAAATATAGGAATAGTAATAAAAGAATGGTTTCTGCTTATTTTCAGGAGCCAAAATACACAAAACAGAAGATTTAATTCACGTGATTGAAAAAACTGGTAAATCATATACTTTAAAAAATGAAAGTGAAATTGTAAGCTTGAAAGAGGAAATGAAAATATATATGGACCATGCTAATGAGGTAAGTACCTGTTTCTCATCCAGTTAACAGTCACATTGTAAAGCAGTGAACTGTTGACAGAAAGCAGTGAACTATTGACAGAAAGCAATCTTCTCTGTAATAGGGTCACCGTGTCTGCTTGGCACTCGAATCTGTAATCTCAGAAGAGGAAAAGAGAAACAGGAGCTGTTCATTCTTCCCAATAATTATAGGAAGGTAAAAGCTTAATATTCCTAACTATGACTAAAATGTTTAAGATACAGTTTAGTCATTTCATTGTAAATGATGTTAAGAATTGCACCATGGTGATACACTCCATAATCCTGGCACCTACATAGTAGAGGCCACCTACCTCAAAACAAGGGCCAGTGAGATGGCTCACTGGATAATAAAGGTGCTTGTTGTGCAAGCTTAACAACCTAAGTTTGATCCCTGAAACCTAAATAAAACTGAGAGAACTTACTCCAAAGGTCATTCTTCCACCTCCAGACACTCCAGGGCATGTATGTAACTACATATCCACAACATTCACACAGATATACATAATAAATAAAATTTAAATTTAAAAACTTAACTAGCCAGATGTGGTGGCACATACCTTTAATTTAGGCACTGGAGTGGCAGAGCCAAATGGATCTCTGAGTTCAAAGCCAACCTGGTCTACATAGTGAAACCCTTTGTCAAACACACTCACACAAACTAATTTTTAGTTGTCTATATATTGAAAAACTTTAGGGAACTATAGCGGGACATTTTTTTTTCCTTCAGAAAACCTGGTAATACTAGTTCACCTAAAGCTTTATCGCCACCGCCTGTGGACCCAAGCTACTCAAAGGGAGAGCAAGCATCACTGAGCAGATCGAGCATGAATAATGCGGCATTTCCAACACAGGCACCAGTACACAACCCTTCTGTAAGTAAATATTCATTCCATGATGAGTGCCTGGTGTCCTTACATAAAGTGAAGGTGTGAATTGGGAGTACAGCTCAGTTGTAAAATATATGCTGAATATGTGTTCATGGGTTAGATCCCAGCACCACTCAGAAAAATAAATAAAACATCACCTACTTATGTGGGCTTCATTGAGCTATTTTGCCATATGTCTACTTTGCACACGCTATCAGCTACCTTGTGGTCATGGTTAAGTAATTATATAAATGTTCTAGTATGTATACGTATGTGTTCACACATGTGCATTCTCTAACCAGCTATGAAAAATAAGGGGAAAGAAATTTGCTAAAATGAAAATGAATCATGATTTGGCCTTTTCTTTATTTAGTTTGAATGTATGGTTGATATTTTAATTTTAGAATTTTTGTTTTATGAAAATTCTGTTTTAAAAATCATGAAGCAATCTCACTTTCACTAAAGCTGGCTTATGAATGTGCTAAGATCTTCCTCTCCCTTACTGTTTGTACTGTTTGTAGACTGCTATAGCTGAAGGACTTGGTCACACAGCCACTGCCACAGGATCAAGTTTCTCGTCTTCAAGTCTTCCTAAATCAGCGCAGCTTTTGAAATCTGTTTTTGTGAAAAATGTTGGTTGGGCTACACAGGTGAGACATTTTTGAAAAAGACAGTTACGCACTGTAGACCTCTTGTTTTTTTGTTTTTTTTTTTTTTTCTTTTTTCTTCATTAATTAAACTATTACCCAATAATACAAATTATTTTAGCAACTTCTCTTTCCTGAGAAGTTTTAAAATATACTTTCTGCATAGGCTATATTCCTAAGCTTTTTAAAAATTGGTATATATCATATATCAGAAAGCTGCCGATGTTGATGTCAGGTTCCCACAATGTGAATGTCATGATAATGGTTTGCAGAGTAGAGGATGATGTCTAGGACAGTTGAAATGGCAGAAATAAAATCAATGTTGAATTCTAATTTACAAAATTTCATGTCAGTGTATATAACTTTACATTGTGTATGTTATCAGAAGATTTGAAGTGGAAATTTTGGAGTGTGGCTCATGTATTTTTACTTGACAATTAAGTAAAAATTCACTCTAGTACTTCATGGGGCCTGTAGGCATTTGTTGAGAATACTTCCTGTGTGGTTCTGTGTTTCTCGCATACATTGTCCAGTTTGTCCCCTAAACTAAGCTGATAGAACTTATGCTAGTTGCTCTTTTCTCACCTATACCACCTGCCTACCCATTCGTAGTAGCACAAAGACAAGTTTAGTAACTAAGAGATAACACAGGAGCTTTTATCATTTTTTCAGTCCTGTCTTAGGAAAAATACTACATGAAAAAAAACCAAACTACTTAAATAACCTAGTAGATGTTTGTGAGAAACCAAATTTATTGAGTCATTTTAATATTATGATGCCTTAACCACTAGTGGGATAATCTGAAGAAGAAAAAGAAAAAGAGTATTTCCAGTGCTAAGATCATTATAAACCCAAATTTGTAGTTATTGAGATAGTTGTTTTTAAAGCTGTATTGGGTCTGGGTATATTCGCACATGCATAGAATTCCGGTATTTAGAAGGTAGAAGCAATAGTGAAATCGATGCATGTCTGGGCTATATAGTAAGTGAGACCCTGTCTTAAAAATAAAATGTGGCCTTTAATCCCAGCACTAGGGAGGCAGAGGCAGGTGGATCTCTGAATTTGAGGTCAGCCTGAGCTACAGAGCAAGTTCTAGGACAGCCAGAGTTACACAGAAAAACCATGTCTTGAAACTACCCCCCCCACCTCACCCTTGCCAAACAAACAAAAAAAAACTTCATTGTGCCTTGTATGTACATTTTCTATGCTTCTTGCTTTTCTAGCTAACTAGTGGAGCTGTGTGGGTTCAGTTTAATGATGGGTCACAGCTGGTTGTCCAAGCAGGAGTATCTTCTATCAGTTACACATCACCAGATGGTCAGACAACTAGGTAAGGTCTTAAAGCACTGGGTGGGATTCAATGCTTACTCTCATTTTGCTTTCTCTGTACTTTGAAATAAGTGGCTTGATAAAGCTTAGTATTTTGACAGTTTTTATTTACACTATTCATAATCAACTCAAGTGGTAGGATTTCTTTGAATTTCATTGACTAACCTGACTAGGTTGACTTTTTCAGAATGAACTTAATGAAAGTTACTTGATACAAATTTTTTCTTTTTTACTTAAAAGAACATGGGCCATGTATACCTTTAATTCTAGCACTTGGGAGGCAGAGGCAGGTGAATCTCTTTTGAGTTCAAAGCTAGCCAGTTCTACCTAAAGACATCAAGGCTCAAAAAACACACAAAGGACATGGAAGACTGTAGAGATGGCCCAGGCTTAAGTTCTTGCTTTGCAAGCAGGAGAGCTTCAGTTCAGAGCCCTGGCACCCATGAAAAAGGGAAGGCATTGTACACTGATAACACAAGCACTGGGGAACTGGGGACAAGAGGATCCTTAACACACTGGCTACCCAATCTAGTCAGATAGGGGAGCTTCAGTTTCAGTGAGAAACCCTGTCTGAAGTGATTAAGGAAGACATCTAACCCTGACCTCTGGCTGGATGTGGTGGTACACAGACCCTTAGTAGGAGCTGGAGATCCTTGGCTACATAGCAACCAACCTGGGTTATATAAGAGACCTGTCTCAAAAAAGTCTAAAGTAAAGTAGCTAAATAAACTTGGTTATTTTTCTAAAACAAAAGTTATGTCCCATCTTTTAAAAGATTTTGTTTGTTTTTCTTTTTCGAGACAGGGTTTCTCTGTAAAGCAGTCCTGGGTGTCCTGGAACTCACTCTGTAGATCAGGCTGGCCTGGAACTCACAGAGTTCCGCCTGCCTCTGCCACTCAAGTGCTAGGATTAGAGGTGTGCATCACCACTGCCCAGCTTGAAAGACTTTTTAAAAACTTGTTTATTTGTGGTAGGTATTGAACCTTGTGAATGCATTGCAAGCCTTCTAACAGAACATTACCACCCAGCACTGACAGTTTTGAAGGCAAACCACTAGTCCTAACTAGTCTCTGAGTGCTCAACCAATCACAGATCAAAAATATTTATTAAAAAAAAAATACAATGGTTGTACTGAGATACAAACCTATCAAACAAAACAAGTGTTTTTGAAAGAAACAAATTGGATGCACTTCATTTGAATTTGGAATCCTAGTAAGTGTATTATTTTCTTGACGTAACTCTTGTCATTAAAGAATTACTGAGACATGTGCTTTTGATACTCTCTTAAGGTCCAAGTAATGCAGTTTGTTTGTTTTTGCTTCATTTAGGTATGGAGAAAATGAAAAATTACCAGAATACATCAAACAGAAATTACAGTGTCTCTCTTCCATCCTTGTCATGTTTTCTAATCCAACTCCTAGTTTTCGTTAATTAACGTCCTTTCAGATGTCTTTATTTAATAAATGACTTTTTGGTTGGCTTTCAAGTAAAGTGAGATTTGTTTTTAATTTACTATAACTTCAGAAAGCCTTTCTATTAAACAGAATTTTAATCTTTATCATAAAAAATATATATGCTAAGAAAACAAAATAGAATAAAATTTCCATTACCAAATATAGTGGTTATAAAATAAACTAAGACATCTGATTTTGCTCGAAGTACTTAATTGCTTAAACTTTCTGTGTTCATGTTTGTACTGAGCTATATTGTGTGCGGTGTGTTTGCTTTTTTTTGTTCTGTACTAGTAAGATATTGAGAATCATGGACAAAACATGCTATAATTTTGAAGTTTTGAATATGTAAATAATGTACTTATAAGCAATATGTAAACATGTATATTTTATATTTATTTTTGTAGCACTTGTGTCTGATAAAATATTTCTGCAAATACATTTTATAAAATAAACACCTTGGTAAGTTTACTTTTTATTTATTTAGTTGTATACTAAATTATTTTAAAATAGTTTACTATATCTTAAGTTTTTGCTGTTCAGGAGGAGCCCCCCTGTTTAATGTTTTGAGACTGGGTTTAACCCACAGGCTGACTTTTCTATCTTTTGTCACTCCTACCTTCCCTCTGCTGGGAGTTCCTGCATTGCCCCAAGAGAGAAGAGGGTACTGGGCAGACAGACACGGGACCTGAAGGGAGCTTGGGTGATAAAGAGACTGGCTGCTAGGCAGTCACTCAGAGAAAATGCCTATTTGGGCAGAGGAAAGATATTAACCTTCACAGGCCTCTCTGCCTTGCTACATCAAGAGGGAGGGAACCTTGTTAGCAGTCCCTACTGTGCCCTTTATAGGCACCTTTTATAAGAAGTTTTATTTCACCCTCCGAGATCGGAAGGGGGTCAGGTACTCTGGGTCTGAGTTATAGGAAGTTGTGAGCCACTGTGTTGCTTCCGAGTCCACCATAAGAGCAGTGAGCACTCTAAATCTCTGGACCACATTAAATTGTGAAGTTTTAATCTACTAAGGTTTATCATTTCACTTATATTGAGATTTGCTCTACTATGGTCATTTTTAAATTTATTCATGATATACTGTTCATATTTTCTTTATAATTAGAACCTTGAATTTCATGAGGAATCAAACTAGACACTGTACTCCAGCCACATTGGACCTGGTTTGAGTTCTGAGAAACTTCCCAAAATGTCTTATCTCTAGGTTGTTCTGCCTAAAGTGCATTTGTTCCACCTTTTCCCATTCTAGTCATTCTTACACCAGGTAACAGCAAATCCTTATTTTCTTAGGGAAATTTCCTAGTGCTATTCTTCAGGTTGATCTCCTTCTGGCCTTATCCTTCATCACCTTCCCCATAGCCAACCATAAATATACCAGCTAATTAGTGTCTGAGGTTTCTGATGGAGTAGAAGCCTAGCAGTCACTGCTCAAATTTCAACAAGTACATGGGAAGTATTCAGAGCTTCTTAATATGTGCTGAAAGTTGACAGATACAAATCCTTGTAGTCTTGCTTTATTTGAAATGAACACTCAGAATATAAGACAAAGTTATAAATAAATCTTCAATAGTAAATGGTAGCCAGAATTTTCTCTTAAAATAAGTTAGTCTTAAACAGATACAAATAGTAGTTTATCATCATTAAATTAAAAATCACAAGTTTATTTCACTTTAATACAAGACATGAGCTTGAACAGCTTGTTTTATACAGAAATGCTTTATGAAGTGACAATTCAAATAAGGAAATAACCCTTTGCTAGGTTTTCATGAAGACCTTTACTATACACTAGTAACAGTTTTCATACCTTATGGTCTCTGTCTGCTCAGTTTATCCTCACTTTGTTCTATTCAAAACTTTACCTCTTTTCTTAGACCTGTTGTTTCCCTCATTTCTTTGGTTGCAAGGTGTGTATTAATCTACTCTCCCAAGAAACAAATGCCTCAATGAAAATGAATGTGCAATCAATTTTGCTAGGTTATAGTTCCCTGAATTGTAGTGTTATAATTCTAGGGCTGGAAAACTTCTGTATGTTCTTGCCAGAAGCAATTTTTCCCCCAAATATTTCTGCAAATCTGAGTCACTAGTGTGAACAGCCTCTCACAGTTAAGTAACTGGTAGCGTACGTAACTTGTGGGTAATTTTCCTATTCTGAAAAGTGCATCTGTCAAGAGGTAGCCTCTGAAGGCACCTGGACAAGAACTATGCCTCCATTAATTCGAATGTATCGGGGAAGCAGGATCTTATCTTCAGCCCTAAGATTGCTATGAAAATTACTGTGTGTTACACAGGAACTCTTTCTGAGGAGTTATTACTGTTGTCTCTGCATAGCACACAAAGCTGGGTTTAAGAGCAGAAGTGATCCAAAAGACTAAAGACGTAGTATAACACGACAGGTAAGATAAAGTCCAGGACCTGACAACAGAAAATGACTGAAGCAAAATGCTGCCACCATTTAATACTGATGGCTACAGCAGACTGTAGAGTGCAGGAGCATTTGATGTTCTCACACACAGATTTGAAACCATAGTCACAGAATGGGAAAATACTTCTGCATGTTTTTCAGTGATTCCTTTTCACACAGGGGTAGAAACTACCCTTTGATTAGTTGCCTTTGGCCATTCATTCTACCTCAGATCATAGCCTGACTAGACAGAGTATCACAGCATTCTAAGTCCAACTGTAGTTCTGCTATGAATGGGTCTGCAGACAGGTTGGAAACAGTTGTTCCTCTGTCACTACTGAGAAGGGCCAGTAAAAGGTCAAAGTTTGCACTAGAGTGTAAAGGACTTGGAAAATAGTGATAATTTTAAGAATCCATTTATTGTTAATATTAAAAAACATTTGTCATGTTTCTAATGTGAATTTACTAGCACTTGAAAAAGTAGCCCTTCTAAAGGTAGTAAAATCCACCTTGACTCTTAGTCCTCTTTACTTCTCAGCGTTATTCTTGATCACAAGTTAATTTAGAAGTGAAATTCTAAATTATAATAGATAAAGGTGCAATATGCAAATTACATTGAGGGAGAGATAATGAGTTCACCCTGGGCAGGAAAGCAAAACTAAATCCTAGTCTGGTGGTGGCCAGGCTAGAAAGAATTTAAGGCTCAGTTTTATTTCATTGGGAAACTGAATAATAGTGCATTTTTATATAAAGAAAAGAAAAAACTTTGATGAAAATACTTGTATTTTTCTTTTAAAAAAATGTTTCATTCTGTTCTGGCTGATTATAACAGAACTTTCCTCTAGTTCCACTGCATAGTCCCATTGCTTTAGGGAGAGTGCCTCAATTTATATTAAGTGCAGTTTCACACCTACAGACATTATCCATCCACTATTGAGTTCATGGAACTCATTATTAAGTATAAGAAAGATAATTCACTTTTGATAAGGAGATTATGACCCAGAATGTTTTTGCATACCTTACCATTCATAGTTAGGTTACTCAACACATGTTTTTGCTACTCAAGACTTAGTTGGAGATGGTTGGCAGCAAGCATCCAGCAGAGACTGCTAGTTTATTCCTGGATCCTCCCACATCTGACAGAAAAGGCAATAAGTTTTCTGTAAACAGCTCCCATGAGCAAAATGGTGAGCACCACTATTCCACACACAAGGCTGAATGCCCATCGTGGGCCCAAATAAGTGTATACATGGCTGATGAACACAGGCCCAAGAATCCGTGCTGCACTTCCAGAAGCAGATAACCAGCCCATGTACATACCCTGTATGGGGGGTAAGGTAGAGAACAACAGATTAATTCAGGTTTAGTTATTTCAAAATAAAAACAGTAAATCAGACAGTGGTGGCGCATGCCTTTAGTACTAGCACTTGGGAGGCAGAGGCAGTTGGATCTCTGAGTTCAAGGCCAGCTTGGTCTACAAAGTGAGTTCCAGGACAGCCAGGGCTGTTATACAGAGAAACTCTTATCTCAAAAAACAAACATCTGAGAGTGTTTCGGGTCAGCTAGAGCTACACAGAGAAACCCTGTTTCAATAATCAAAAAACAAAAACTGATCTGACCTGGAGAGATGGCTCAATGGTTTGGTAGTATTTGACTTGTAAATTGAAATACCTGCTTTCAATCCCTAGAACTTAAAAAGCTGGGCATGTGGGGTAAGTCTGGAGTGTATATGTGTGTTGGGGGGAGGGATTGGGTAAATATGATCAAACACAGTATGTGAAAGTCTCAATAAAAATAAGAACAACAAAAAGAAATTGGGAAGTTAGAGACAAGCAGAACCCTTGGGTTCCCCAGACAGCCAAACAGCCTAGCCTACATGTATACTGAGTTCTGGGCCAAGGAATGCTGGTATTAAAGGCATGAATCACCATGCCTGACAGTTCATTTTGTCTCAGAGTGTGGGGGCAGGGGGTGTGTGAGTGTGTGCTCTCCAGTGTGCTAATCCCTTGCAGCTGGAGTCACAGGTCTGGAAGAGCAGTAAGCACTCACGACTGCTGAGCCACGTATCCATCCCCTTAGTTTGCTTTTTTAAGATGACCTTACAGTACAGTCTAGGTTTGCTTAAGAATCACCAATTCTTAAGCCTCAAATTCAAGATTTTCCTATTCCTGTCTCAGAAATGCTGAGAATACAGTCATGTGCCATCACATACATGTCAGTTTGATTTTATTTGTTTGGTTGGTTGTTTTGTTTTTTGAGACAGGGTTTCTCTGTCTCAAAGGGACTGGGAATGGAGTTTGACTTCATTAAAATATTAGCAATTGTGACCTCTCTGAAACTACTACTCATATGCATCTATATATTTTGTGTTTTATAATGAATATATAAAGTGTGTGTGTGTGTGTGTGTGTGTGTGTGTGTGTGTGTGTGTGTGTGCGTGTGTGCGTGCCAGAGATTAAACCTAGGATGTCAGGTATTCTAGGATAAAAGCTGCACTTGTAGCCTACAAATTTCCTGTGTATTTTTGTGTTATTTGGGACTGAGACTCGCTATATAGCCTGGCTTTTCTGGACCTCACAGTGTAAATGAGGCTAGCCTTGAACCTTCAGTGATCCTCCTGCCTCAGCCTCCTGTATGCTGAGATTACAGCTATTAACCATCCCAAGCTCAGCCATGACATTCTTACTTAAAAATTAATTTTGGATCTGGGCTTCAGCTCAGTGGTATAGCACTAGTCTAGCATGTGCAAAGCCTAGGATCCAATCCTAGCACTACAAAACAGTTAAAACTTAAAATACAGCCAAGCAGTGGTGACACACACATTTAATCGCAGCACTCAGGAGGCAGAGGCAGGTGGATCTCTACAACTTCGAGGTCAACCTGGTCTACAAAGTGAGTTCTAGGACAGACTCCAAAACTACAGAGAAACCCTGTCTTGTGGGGGGGGGGGAAGAAGACCTTAAAATCCATACAGATAAATTTCCATTTGGCTCAGCAGTAGTAGCTCAAGGTCCTGGTTTTAATCTCCAGAAACAACACAGAAAAGGAAATAGCTGCCAAAACTGAGACTATTGTGTTTTCATCTCTTTGTAACAGCCTAAATTCAATGTGGCTGCCAATTTTGGTTTTCTCTTGTCTACTTTAAGAATGAGTATTAGAAGTTTAAAGTTCAGAGACTTTTTTCAATGAGGAGTATTTTGAGCACATAATTATTGAATTTAAGACATCTGAGTTCTGGTTTAGCAAGGTTGTATTTCACCAGATAAATCTTACCAAACACATCATAAAAATTTTGAGTGATGGAGGCAAAGGTAGGAACTTAAAGCTCAGGCCTGCATGGGATACAAGTGAGCCCCAGCTCCAGAGCTGGTCTAAGAAATACACCTCTCCCCCAAATTAACCATTTGTTTATTTTCTTTTTTTCATTTGAAATGTGAAATGAGATTTTTAAAGTCTGCTAACCCAGCTTGTGTAAAAATAGGACTACAGGAAAGGAAATGAGGGGGTATTGAGTTGCAGGGTTAAGTTACCTGAGGTTTTGGTCCTAGAACTTTTGAATATAATGTATAGGACATGACATTGCAGGCTGGATAGCCTATTCCAACTAGCACAGCAGCTGTGAGGAACTGGGCCAGATGGATCACCGGGGTGTACAGGCACCAGGCTTGTTCAATTGGGCACCCGGTTGGCTGTTCACTGTGATCTTCTCTTGGAGAATTCCAAAGATCAATAATAATTTCTCCAAATGTAGTATTAGGGATTGAGCTGTTGTGTAAATCTGTAAAATAAAGTTAACATAAGGTATCACTTGCTACTTCTAAAGAATGGTAGGGGCTGGTGCTACAGAATTAAAATCACCATACCTTCCCACTGTACTTTGGGAAACTGATTTCCCCAGGGTAACAAGATAAAGAAGCCGACCCATACAACCACGAGTCCTCCCAGGAGAATGGCACGTTCATCAATCCTGTTGAACAGAAACTCTGATTTTGAAATGCAATGTGAATTCACAGTTCTGTTACCATAACTAAACAAAATTTAAGTAAATTTGTTATACAGTTCATTTTATTCATCAATTAATGCAATACTAAACAGAATCCCCCACTGAAAGTACCCAGTACTAGCTAGGTATGGCAGTGTGTACACCTGTAGCCTTAGCACTTAGTTACAGGGTAGGAACCCTGGGAGGGAGTTCAAGGCCAGTGTGGGCTACATGGAGAGACCCTTTCTCAGAAAAAAAAAAAAAAAAAAAAAAGAGGGCTTCTCTAACAAACTGTTGATTTCAGATTAGGGGGTTGAACTCTACATGATGAATGTATTTATCTTTTCCTACAGAAAATAGTGCTTGACAGCAACTATTAAGGCAAAGAGACTTAGAACCAGTGTGAATAATAACCATGTCTACATTATTTTAAGAATAATTAAACTACTAAAGCTGTTCATCAGCTAATAACCTGTGTTAACCGATATGGCAGGCTGAGATATATACCTCAGTGGTAGAGAGCTTGCTTAGTATACATGATACCCTGGTTCAATCCCAGAACCACAGAGAAAGTAAACTATGTGACAGAATTCAATTGCCATATTCCCCACACACTGGATTCCTTATACTTACTTTCATAAAATTATATCTTTTAAGTTATCTAGGTGCTGGGAATATAGTGATACAGCACTTGTCTAGCATATGTGAGGCCCTAAATTCAACCCCCTGCACCATACACACACACACACATACACACACACACTTATGTGATCAAAACTTGGAGACATGAGTATAACTATATTGGCCAAGGTGATGGTATAGTGTTCATAAGATGGAAGCCTAATTAGATGTTCTAAAATATATAAGCCTATAATCCTAGGGCCTTGGAGGTGGAGATAGGAGGATCGGTAATTCAAGGTTAGCCAGTGTATATGAGACCCTGACTCATAAAAACAAAACACACACACAAAATCTTATGTATGTTCAATTTGTTCTTTGAAACGTGGTCTCAGCCAGGCAGTGGTGGCACATGCTTTTAATCCCAGCACTGGAGAGGCAGAGGCAGGCAGATGTCTGTGAGTTCCAGACCAGCCTGGTTTACAAGAGCTAGTTCCAGGACAGCCTCCAAAACCACAGAGAAACCCTGTCTGGAAAAACCAAAAAAAGAAACATGGTCTCAATATGTAGCAAGCAGGCACTGATGGTCCTCTTATCTCAGCCATCAGTGTAGAGGTTTTAATAACCAGAATTTTCCAAACTTATTCATTTAATTTCATAAGACAATATTTTATGAGATAAATTTTTAGCAATATACATTAAAACACTATATAACAATAGTTACTATACAATTATTTTTTGGTAAGGTATTTTATTTTGCCAAAGTGATGCTACAGAATATGAAAATATCATGCATTCTCATTTTTTTGCATTTATCTTTTTGCAAACTTTCAAGAACTATAATACAGCTAGGCATGGTAGTGCCTTTATTCCCTGTACTCAGGAGGCAAAGGCAGACTGACTTATGAACTCCAGGCTAGCCAGGTCTATGTAGTGAGTTCCAGACTAGCTAACGTTACATAATAAGTCTCTGTCTTAACAACAACAACTAAAAAGCTGTAACAAATGAGGAAAGTACTAGCACATTCATTTATATTAGTACTGCTTCATGTTTCCTTTTTCAAAAAAAGATTTGAAATAAAACTAAAAACATATAACTTACTTTTTGGAAAGTAATTTAACCCCCATGAAAACAGCAACTGCCTCAACTCCAAGAGCAGCAAGAATTATTCCGTCATAGAACACAGCCTGCTCCTGGGTCCAGGCATACATGTCCATTGTTAATGGAGTGAGGATTCTAAGAGAGAAAGCCATTACTAACAAATGTAAACAATTATAATAATGCCTTCAAGAATATACAAGCCCTTTTCAGTTTATATAAGGAACACAGTCACATTGCAGGTTTGCCAACAGGAGACAACATAAATCAATTACCAGCCCTATCCAAGCAACTATTCATGATTACACTGTGGTTGAAATTGATCTCTGTGGTGGAGCTTTGAGCTTTAAGGGTGAGACTATGACTAGCCTTTCTTTAGGGCATCACTTCTACTGAGGGCCCACTGTAATAGGCCTGTAAGGAGCCCTTACAGAAGTAAACTTTATGTTGACATCATTTTCAAAATCAAATTTATTTCAGTTTTGCTGGAAGTGCACTTTCTAGATGTTTCCCTCATCGTTATAAAATGTGTGTGTTACCAGCAATGTCAGACTGTTATTACTACCTACTTATTAGAGCCTAGTGGATTTTTCCTTCCATCAGTACTTTGTGTGTTTCTTCCCCTCCCTATGAATACCTCTACTTTTATATGGCTGTCTCCTTCCTTGCTAGCTCTATCCCTACCATCTTCTGTTGGCTGACAACAAAACAATTTAAATTTTAAATGTATTAAAAAGAATAATATCTTAAACTTTGAAATCAGATGCGCTAACATAGAAAACAGGTACATGCTTTGTCCAAAGGCTAAAGAGTTAACAGGTGCAGATCCAAGAACTGAACTCCAGCAGACACTTGCACAGCAGTGCCACTCAACACAGCTGCATGGTGCCAACGGAGCTCTCATCAGCAGATTAGTGGGCAGCTAAAAGTAGCTGCCACCTGCCATAAGAACTTAGGGAAGTCTGATACACCACAGTAGGAGGAACCCTAAACCCTCACACTCAATGAAATGACATATTCATAAAAGCAAAATATTGCATGATGCAACTTCTATGAGGTACCTTATACAGACAGGTCATCAGGAGCTGGTGAAAGACAAGGGGAGTAACTGTAGGGCTACTCAGCTTGTTTGGGATGATAAGGTTCTTCTCATGACTCACAAAGTTGTAATCATACTTAATGCCTTGTATTCAACTTTTCAAAAACAGAGTCTAGAGAAATGGCTCAAGATTAAGAGCACTTGTTGGTCTTGCAGAGGACCCAGGTTTGATTCCCAACACTACATGGTGGTTCATTAACCATCTGTGATTCCAGTTTCAAGGACCCAGTTCTCTCTTTCTGTCCTCTGCTGGCACCAGGTATGCACATGGTACACATATATTACATGCAGGCAAAACACTCATAACACATTTTTAAAAATAAAATTTAAAAAACAAACATTTAAGATGTTGGGCCTAGTTGTACAGGTCTGTAAGCACAATTATAGGAGGTCGAGACAGAAGGATCACAAATTTAAGCCCTGTCTGAACTACAGAATGAGTTTAAAGCCAGTCTGGATCATACTGAGAACTCATCTCAAAATAAAAAGTAAGTAGGTTGAGAATGTGCCTCAATAGTAAAGCACTTGCCTAACATGCTTGAAATCCTAAATTTAATCCCCAATATTGGGGGGGGGGGTAATTTAGTCAATTTTGGTCAATTTTATGTGCTGTGTATTTTTCATTAAAAATGTTCCCTAAAATGAATTAAATTTTCATGTGGATGAATAATTTTGAAAATATACACAACATGTATTGACACAAAAATGTTACAGTTGTATTGAAATAAACAAAGTTATCAAATTGTGACATTATAGCTTATGAGCATTGAAAAACATGAAGTAGATTTTTGCAGGACATGTGTATATGTGTATATGTGTGTGTAATGCTACATTTGCATATTTTTCTCGTTTGAAAAGGTCACATAATTTTTAAAAAAGGATGAATGAAACCTACACAGTTGTGAATTTTATAATTTTTAATCAAGAATTAAATAGAGCTAATATTGCTAGACTTATGTCATAATACAAAAATCTCTATATATTTATATTTAAATTGGTTATGGTGGCATACCCATTTAATCCTAGCACTTGGGAGAGAGAGACAGATCTCTATGAGTTCAAGTCCAGCCTGGGATTTATACAGTTCCAGGACAGCCAGGTTACATATACCTTGTCCCAAAAAAATCAAATCAGGAAAAAAAAAAAAACCCCAAAATCTTTTTAAGAAAAATGTGCCTTGCATAAGTTTTTAAAAACAAAATCTATATAATTAATACTGCATTCAGAAACATTGATTAGTAAGTAATTGGGCTTAAATAAAGACAGAATAAAACTTACGTTTCAAAAAGGGCAAAGATAAACAAAACCACAAAAAACAGAATATTGGTAGTCACAACGGCAACTTGATCAATACTTCCTTCAGGAATCTGAACTTCATCTGTATTTTCTATAAATGAGAAAGAAGTAATATTACCTATATGTGTAATTTTTCATATGATAAAGTAATAGGAAACTACTAACTGAGTGTGGTGACTCACACCTTAATCCTAGCACTTAGGAGTGTGAGGCTAGATAATCACAGCAAATCTGAGGCCAGCCTTGAGAAGAGAAAATAAAAGTAACAAAAAGGGGAAGAGGTTGGGAAGGGAGGGAAGGAAAAGGAAAGAAGTAAGATTCAGATAGTAATAAATCTTTAAATGGTAGTTAAGGTAAAGTAGCCACTCTTCCAAGAAGTGTGTTTGAGTTCCATTATCTGAAGGAAATACTCAAGGGTTGTTTATGTTTGTATCTCCAAATCCAAAAATAGTATTTTATAGACTTCTTTAAAAAATACCTTTGCGGGCTGATCTCCAAAATATACAAAGAACTCAAGAAACTAGTCAACAAAACACAAAATAACCCTATTAAAAAATGGGGTACAGGACTGAAGAAAGAATTCTCAATAGAGGAAATCAAAAAGTCTGAAAGACACTTAAGAAAGTGCTCAACATCCTTAGCTATCAAGGAAATGCAAATCAAAACAACTTTGAGACACCATCTTACTCCTGCCAGAATGGCTAAAATTAGAAACACCAATGATGACTCATGCTGGAGAGGATGTGGAGAAAGGGGAACACTCCTCCACTGCTGGTGGGAGTGCAAACTTGTACAGCCATTTTGGAGATCAGTATGGCAGTTCCTCAGGAAAATGGGAATTAGTTTACCACAAGACCCGGCAATCCCCCTCTTAGGCATATACACAAATGATCCACATCCATGCAACAAAGACATCTGTTCAACTATGTTCATAGCAGCACTATTTGTAATAGCAAGAACCTGGAAGCAACCTAGATGCCCCTCAATTGAAGAATGGACAATGAAGATGTGGCACATCTACACAATGGAATACTACTCTGCAGAAAAAAAATAATGGTATCTTGAAATTCACAGGCAAGTGGATGGCACTTGAAGAAAGCATCCTGAATGAAGTAACCCAGTCACAAAAAGAGGAACATAGTATGTACTCACTCATACATGGATTTAAGACCTAGAGCAAAGCATCACCAGCCTATATTTCATACCACCAGAGGAACTAGGATACAAGGTGTATTCTCAGAGATTCATATAAAGTCCCTCACAGAATTGGGAAGGGACAAGTCCCCCAGAGCACAGGGGACATGGGGAGGGGGCAGCGAATGGAGAGAGAAGTAGGAAAAAACGAGGGGAAAGAAAGGAAAACACGTGTGACCAGGAAGATTGAGCCCAGTTAGGAATAGAAGACAGGAGAGAGAGAGAGAGAGAGAGAGAGAGAGAGAGAGAGAGAGAGAGAGAGAGAGAGAGAGAGAACATAAAAGAGGGAGCCAATATTGGTTTGAAGAGAAAACTGAACCTAAAAAAGGGTCTAGAGAACTACAAGACTGAAGCCAACTAACAATTTGAGCTTCCGTGGAAAGGCTACCATAAATGCCCTTCCTGGATAGTGAGATCAACAACTAACTTATCCATGGAGCCCTCATCTAATGCCTGTTGGAAACAGGAGCAAACACCCATACATAAACACTGAGTCGAACTAGAACCCAGATGCAGATGGAGAGGACAAGACCAGGTTGCAGAAATACATAGAGACAGCTTACCAGAACAAGGAGGAGTTATCGGGCCACCAGACTGATAGCTGGGAATCCAGCATGGGACTGACTCAGGCCCCCCTGAATATGGGTCTCAGCCAGAAGGACTGAGCAGTCTAAGGGACCTCAGACAGTGGAGCCAGGATGTATCCCTGGTGCACAAAAGGACCTTGTGAACACATCCCCCATGGAGGGATAACTGCCTTAATCTAGAGACAGGAGAGAAGCCCTAGTCCCTACTTCACATGACCTGTCAGATCTACATGACCCCAACTGGATGGCATTCCCCTACATATGGAATTGAGGTGTGGGGATGGGAGGGGAGGGTGGTTAGGGTGCATGTGAGAGGGCAGAGAGAGTAAAAGGGAGGGAGGGAGGGAGAGGGAACTGGGATTGACATGTAAAATAATAAATTAAATTAAAAAAAATGCTTTGACTCCAAAATTTAAGTTCAAGGACAAGTAACTGGGGAATAGGATTTCTATTTTTGTTTCCACAGAAAATGAAAAGCAGTGGATTCCTTCCAGACTAATGTGGTTTGATCAAGTCAGACCGCCTGAAACAGAGTACCAGGTGATCCTACATTCAAAACAGCTAGACAAAGCAGCCTTGCAGACTACAGCCAGGATTTCTGCATCTTCTTAGAATCCCCCATAACAGCGCCCCGTACCAGCAGGAAGTAGTTTGGAAAGAACGACGCCCAAATTCCCAAATATTGTCTATAAGTGTTTGTTTTCATTTAAATGGACTTGGTTACATAAAATAAAAATAAAAAAAAATACCTTTGCTGGCCAGGCGTTGGTGGCACATGCCTTTAATCCCAGCACTCATGAGGCAGAGGCAGGTGGGTTCCTGGGATTCCTGTGAGTTTGAAGCCAGCCTGGTCCAGGACAGGCTCCAAAGCAATGCAGAGAAACCCCTGACTTGAAACCCCCCCCCCAAAAAAAAAAAAACCATACAATGATTCTATTAAGTTCTGTCAATAGCTCATTAAACCAGTTCCCAGTTCTTTGGTTCATTTCAATGGCTTTTTTTTTTTTTTTTTAATTTCAACACTACATGAAGTTAGTGTTAGTAAGTAAAAATATTTCTTTAGGGACCAGTGAGATGGCTCAAAGGAAAATACCCTTGCTGCCAATAGAAACCTGAGTTTGATCCTCAGACATCCATGTGAGAGCTGACTGTTAAAGGTTGTTCTCTGATCCCTGCACATGCATGTCATACACACAAAATAAACAGAAAGGTTACCTTTTCTCTTACCTGTTATTTTAGATTTGTGGAAAGGAAGGGGGTGAGTAGGGGTGGTAGGCAGATGAGAGGTGGATGGGAATGAGAGTGGTCAGTATATATTGTGTACATGTATAAAACTGCCTGAGAATATTAATAAAAAGTGATGTTAATGCTGGGCTTGCTGATATGCTCAGTTATCCTTGCCCTCAGGAGACTTGGGCATCAGAATCATGAGTTGAAGACCAGCCTGAGACCAATCTCAAAAATAAAAAGTAGTTGTATCTTTGTATGGCAATGGCTTTAGAGGGCAAAGCACAAAGTACAGACATTCCAGACATAACTTCAAAGTAATACACACAGCCGTATATCTGCTCACACCCATTCCTTACGTATTACTCAGTGTGAACAGTGTAAATAACACTAGATTGAACATGTGTTCTTGGGGGGGGGAGGGGCAGCAAAGGAGAAGCATGGCATGGTGTTCCCAGACAAAGTTTGTGTACGTTTTTGTAATGATGTCTGCCCTTGTACCTCAGGGGAAAGGAGATTTAGAAATGTCTGAGCATTACAGGGAGAGTACTGGTCACCTTCATCCAGATCCCTTCACAGAAGCAGGCCTAGCTCTTCTGACCCTTGTACTATTTGGGGTAGACCTTTCTAATTTTTAATACCCAGGGCCTGTCTTGACTTCTTTGAATCAAGTGCAAATGCTGTGATGTCAGACTGAAATTTCCTACACACTCAGACTGAAATTTTCTATATACATGGTTGTTTCCTGCAGGCTCTATCCAGCTGTAAAGAATCTCAGGAATGTATCCCAAACTGATGAGATTGTCTAAGTGTCCTAATTACAAGAATTTTAGGGCCTGGCAGTGGCAGGGCACGCCCTTAATCCCAGCACTCAGATGGATCTCTATGAGTTAAAGGCTGACATGATCTACAGAGTGAGTTCCATTACAGCCAGGACTACAAAGAAAAGCCCTGTCTCAAAAAATCTCTCTCTGTCTCTATCTCTGACACACACGCTCACACACACACAGAGAGAGAGGGGGGGGGGAGAGAAAGAGAGGAAGAGAAAGAGAGGGAGAGAGAGAGACATACACACATGAATTTTAAGGAAAGACTACTTCAGTATATAGTGACTCATTGATTTTTACATGTATTAGTGTCTTGCCTGCATATATGTATATGTTTGGTGTTTGCTTCAGATCCCCTGAAACTGGAGTTTACAGAATGTTTTGAGCCACCATGTGGGTGCTGGGAACTGAACCCAGGTCCTCTGAAAGAGCAGTAAGTGGTTTTAACTGCTGAGCCCCCCGAAATTTTATGTAATTAGAAATTACAATCCCACTCAAAGGAAACTTCTTTAAACTTGACCATCTTTAAAAAAATCATGTGAGTCTTTACCAAATGCATTTGACCAAGATATTTACTGAAATGTAAAAAATGATTTCATATGAAAGTATTCAGTAAAATTACTTCATTTTTGTATAATTTTATAAAATCAATGAGCAAGTACCAACTTGCATTCTTTCAAATGATTGAAGACCACAATTGATACTTAAAAAACAATTTATTAAGTAAAATGTTCCTACTTACCAGGAACTTATAAATAAACCAAGAAAGATTTAAAGGACTGGGCCGTGGGATGGATAAAGTGTCCACTGTGCAAACATGAAGGTCTGAGTTTAGGTCCACTCAGATCTGTGATGGTGCTAATCACTGTAACCCAGCACTGGGGGACACAGACAGATGGGCTCACTAGCCAGCCATTCTATTCAAAATGCCAAGCTCTAGGTCAGTGAGAGACTGTCTCAGAACATAAGTGGAGAGAAAATAAGGAAATCATCTGATGTAGACCCCTGACCTCCATGTGCACCCACATGGGCATGTGTACCTATACACATATGCACAAACGCATGCGACCACACATCCACAAAATAATTTAAAAGATGAAAATATACATTAGTAAAATAATAGAATGCCTACTATCTTGATAAAAGTACTGGGAATTGTTGGAAGCCAGGTGTATATGCAGTACAACTGTGATCCCAGCATTTACAAGGCTGAGGCAGGAGGATCTCAAGTTCTAGGTCAGCCTTGCCACACATGTCATTATCAAGGTAAGCCTGAGCTACACACTGAGACACTGTCTCAAAAAAGCAAAACCTGCTTGAAAGGGCTTCCTGTACCAGGGTTATCATAAGCACGGCAAGGAGCACAAGGATTTTAGGACACTGGCTCTTTGAAAAAGACAAGTGATCTTAAGCAATGGCTTTTAGCCTTGCCAATAATAAACACCATATAACTGATAGGTATGGGTTCTTTTATTAATGTAGATTCCTTTAACCTTTCACCCACTCACCTACCATATTATACTGAGAGGCAAAAGCAATGTAAATACCAAGGAAACAGAATCAGAATTTAGATGGTGCTAAACAGGCTAACAGTACCTTCTCGAAAATTCACACTCTTACACTGCCGTCCTGAGTCATCTACACGATGCTCTCTTAAAAAGAAAAGCATAAATATTAATAAGACCTTAATTCAAAAGCAGTTTTCTAGTTTGAACCATATCTTTCCCAAAGGCAAACACAATTTCTGAGAGCTACTACTTACTAATAAATATAACCAACACACCAAAAAAAAAAAAAAAAAATACCTTGTTTTTTTTTTTTTTTTTTCAGTACTAGGTATGAAGTGTAGGGCCTCATACATGCTGGACAAGCAAGGCCCAAAGCCTTGTACTGGATCTCCAGTGTTTGTAAAGGCTTGGCACTGTTGTCCAGCTGCTCTCAAACACCTGGGATCAAGTAATCCTCCCATCTCATTCTCCTGAATAGGAAGACTAAGTATCATATAAAACTTTTAAAATTTACCTAGAAGCATATATGATTTACCTTAGTATGTATTTGAGGTTTTCAATGTTTTAAAAAATTATAAGTGGTTTTTAGAAAATTGGATGAAGCACTCTAAGAAATACAACATAATAATATTAGGTTTGGTAGCACACACCTATATTCCCAGCACTTCAGAGGATAAGGCAAGAGAATCCTAAGTTCTCAGCCAGCCTTGGCTACATAGTAAGACTTTTTTCTAAGCACTAAAATAAAAACAAAAGTACAAAGTAATCATACTAGTTTTAGAAAATGAAATACAATTTCTTTTGTTTTTTTTGAGACAGGATTTCTCTGTGTATCCTTGGGCTCTCCTGGAACTCACTCTGTGTTCACTCCTCATCTGGCTTATTACTGCAGTTACCAGTATAACATGCCTTAGCTGATCAAAAACTACACACCCAATACGGTCAGCAAAGCACAGACTTCACAGGGCCAGCTTCACAGCTCAGGTCTACAATCTCAGCTACTCAGAGGCTGCCTGGTACTCAGAGCACCTAGGTAACTTAACAGAACCCTATATCAAAATAAAAAGCAAAAGTAAAAAGGGCTGGCAAGGGCCTTCAGCAGCTTAGAACACTTGCTGGTCTTGCTGAGGATCCAGGTTCCTGGCACCCAACTGTGTGTAATTCCAGTTCCAGGAGACCCAGTTCTCCCTTCTAGTTCCTGGGAGCACTGCATGCATGTGGTTCACATACATGCATATATGCAAAACACTTTAAAACACACAAAAATAAATCTTTATAAAGGCAGGTATGGGCTTGGGAGGTTCAGAGTAGTGGTAAAGGGCTTGCTTAGCATGTATGAGGCCCAACAGTCAATGCTACAAATCCAAAAAAGACTTCATTGGGATAATTATCCTTGAGTAATAACAAATCTTGTTAACTTTTAGACAATTTGTAAACATAGCTTATCACTTCTATGTAGTTACCTTAATATAAAGAGAATCAGAATAATGTTTACAATTCCTAGGAAGGCGCCAAGTAAAACTGGTGCTGTGTACATGTTGATCTGCAGCTTAAGCGTGTCCCACGTTACACCCTTTTCTCCAATGAGTGCAAAGCAAGTCTGAAAAACTAATAAAGTGATATGTATACAAGTAAGTTTTGATGGGAGAAACATAAGCTAAAAATTGTAAAAGATGCTTACCACAGAACTGTTAGGGTCTATATAAAGCCACCATATGTGTACTAAGGAATCTGAACTGGAGTGAGAAAATTGGCTCTTGGTTGGTGGAGACAATTTATTCTTTTCTTGTATAAATCACAAAAATGCATATATGTATATATACACAAACATATTAGATAGTATTAAATTTTCATGCAGGATGGAATAAATAGGAAAATCATCAAAGGGGGCTCTTTAGGAAGACAGTATTAAAAAGGGGAGACACAGATGTGTACATTCACAAAGATTATATAATTTGATCAACCAACTCAGCACATTTCTCTTGATCATTTTTTTACTAGCATATAGTAATTTTACATAATAATAATGTTTATTATAACATTTTCATAGATCTATAATGTGTTCTTTCCATACTTACCACCCGTTTGGTATCTTCATTTTTGTTAGGGGAGGGGTGCTAAGAACTGGGGCCTGAGGCCTGCTAATTATCTACTCTACCTCTAAGCTACATTCTCATCCCCAGTATATATTTTTCTAAAAAAGAAAAAAAAAAAAGAAAAAGAAAACTACTGTATATGAAAGTTAAGCTATGTAATTTATTCAATAAATAAAATATAAATTGTAATAATTATGTTGATTTACAAGAGTGGAAGGGAGCAGGAGAGCTTTCACTTGCCAGGGTGCACCTGTGGAAGTCAGAGAACAACTTTTAATCTCTCCTTTCACAATGTGTTCTTCACGATCAAACTCAGTCTACCAAGTTTGGCAACCAGCACAAAGATAAAGACCCATTTGTAGTGATATATTATTTATGATTCATTAAAGCTTGACTGGGGATTCAGAAAGCAAAGTCAGCCTCAAGCTATAGAGATCAGGCAGTGGTGATACACACCTTTAATGCCAGCAGCCAGAAGCTAGGAGGTGGTGTTACACATCTTTAATCCTAGGACTCAGGATTAAGAGAGACATCTCTGTGAATCCAAGGCCACGCAGGTCTACACAAGAGTGAATTGGTCTAAAAGATAATTACAGCTAATACCTTTAATCCCAACATTAGGGAAGTATACAAGACAGAGGCCAGGTCTCAGTAGAGGCACTCATTCTCCAGCCATGCTGAGGGGGAGGTTACAGTCTGAGACTTGGTGAAGAGCTCGTGGAGACAGGATCAGCCCCTTCAGCCTGAGGTAGAAGTGACAGCTAATGACTGGCTGCTGATATTCAGCTTGAAGTATGAACCCCAATATCAGTCTCTGGGTCTTTTAATTCAAGATACACCCATTGAACAATGTTGTTGGCTCAATTAGTGATAAATTTAATCAAGTTCATTATAAGAAAAAAAAACACAGTTTCAAGTCAAATATTTTGAATATTATTGTGTATATGGTACATAAATTATACATACTTAGTATCACTTAACATGAAATCTGTAGTAAAACTTGGAAACTTGGATAGAACAGTTCTGGTCTTCATTCCTGGTTGAGATAATTTTCCTTGGGCCCTGAAAGCAACTTGGATCTACCTTCAGCTGAGGCCAATATCAGATGCTGCTCTTACAACAGTACTGTGTACAAAGCACCCAGGAAAATGTCAGTTCTGAGCCTTGAACTCCCCACCTGCTTTGGTGACAATGGACAGACTCTCTATACCATTGGATCTTTGTCTGTAAAATGAGGCAAGCAGCATTAAATTAAGAGCTCTGGTGTCACAGTAAAATAGTCTAGTAATAGAAATGTATTAAAAACATTAATGTCAGCTGGGTGGTGATGGTGCACACCTTTCATCCCAGCACTCAGGAGGCAGAGGCAGGTGGATCTCTTGAGTTTGAGACCAGCCCTGGTCTATAGAACAAGTTCCAGGGCAGGCCCCAAAGCTACAGAGAAACCCTGTCTTGAAAAACAAAACAAAACAAACAAAAAAATCGAATGTCCCTCCCTGCTAAGGCTATAGTGCAGTCGCCGAATGCTACCTAGCATGCCTGAACCCTTGGGTTTAATCTTCAGTGTTACATACACACGCATGTGGGGTTGGGGGATTACTGTTAATTTTTATTGTGATAATTTTTAGCTAACATAGCAAATGTGTTTCAGTATGACATTTTTATGCATATATATATATATATATATATATATATATATATATATATATCACTATACTTTGCTCATATGAAACCCTCTTACTTCCCTGGCTCCCTCTCTCCTTTCTAAAGTTTCTCTCCTTTTCCCTTTGGCCACAAAGCTTCACACACGGGTTACATTTAAATTTGAACCTCAAAGGTTTTCCCAATTCAAATTTAAGAAATAAAGACCACCTACCTGGACCCAGAATAAAGCCCAAGGCTTGGCATGTGCTCGTATTGGCCATGGCACTTGTTCTTTCCTGAAGGGAAGTAGCACCAGCAATATAAGATCGAACAACAGCTACGTTTCCTAAAGAGACAGTAACAGAATGAAGGAGTCACCCTTCAGCTACAACACTCACCTCACCTGGCTTTACACAGACAAGAAATAGTGATGAGTACCATGGTCACAACTTCCTCTATGCCATCTTAGAAAGTGTGTAAGATTTTTATTTGACAAACACATAACTAAGGAAACAAAGTATTTTCACTGATACAGAAACAGTGCAACTAGGCTGGGTGGTGTACACCTTATAATCCTAGCAACTAGGAGACAGAGACCAGCCTAGGCCACATAGTGAGTTCTAAGCCAGCCTAAGGTATATAGTAAGACTCTGTCTCAAAACTGACTACCAATAACAAAGCAAGAATCAAAATAAAACAAGCCCACTGTGAAAACAGTTTTAGATAATGTAAAAATGGCATTATAATATCAAGATTTTCTTATCAAGTAATAGACAGCTGTGCAGAGTAACAGCAGAGTGCTATGCTATAAGGAAATGTGTCACAAATGTATGCACAGACATGTAATAAAGAAATAGAAAGAGTCCACTAAGAATGTAACTAAACAATCTTGGGCTGAAGAGGGCACATTGGTTAAACATTCATACTGCTATTGTAGCAGACCTGTGTTCAGTTCCCAGCACCCACATCAGACAACTCACAAGCACCTGTAAGTCCAGCTCCAGAGGATGCAGTGCTGTCCTTTGGCCTCTGACGGTACTACTTTCACATGCATATCTCTACAGAGGCACATAACATACACAACAAAACCAAAAGTTTTTTTTTTAATTATTAAGTGCTTACATTATAGTAGAGAACCACAGAATATATTAAAAAATATTATTTACTGCTTCTAATGCAAAAAGCATACTAAAATTAATGAGAAAAGATGGAACCAGTACAACAGGGCAAGCAAAGGCCAAAACAGATCAGAAAAGAAAAGGATTCATTCAGGGGCGAGAAGCTCAAGAGGACTCCACACTCCATAAAGCACTCAATGTGTATCTTGAGGGTGCAATCTGATGGAAATAAAAGAGAGGACCTGTAGGCACTAGGCATGAGCAAAGGCAAATGAAAGAAAGGCACCTGCCTCTTCCTAAGATGTATATAGGATGCGAGACTGAGCAGGGATTACACAGGGGAGACATAGCATTGAACAGACATAGCATTGAAACACACACACACACACTCAGACTGAGAGGGGATGATACAGGGAAGATGAGAGGGGATGATACAGGGAAGACATGGCTGTGAACAGTAGGAAGAATGTGAACCTCACACAAATACACATATACACACACACAAACACACACACACACACACACACAAATTACCTGCTCCAAATCCCACCAATCCACGAGCAATTAACATGTAGTACTTATTATGAGCAGCTGGCACGTGGACGTATGCATATAGGCAGTTGGCTGCCACGGAAATAAAGATGGAGACGATAAGAGGTTCTTTTCTTGGCCTATAATTAGACCATAAACCAAATAGAGGTGAAGCTACCATTTGGCCAAGACTAAATGAAGCAATAACCCATCCTAAAAAACTTGCATCGGCTGTCTGATCAATCTGTAGAGAAAAGGAAATGCTTTAAGAATCATCACATCACAACAGTCTTCAGCTTCTGGCAGCTACAAACATTCCAACCCAGACTTCTGTGAGAATGTAAGTCTGGGTAACTAAGTATCTGGGAACTGACTGCTAGATCAGTTAGTAAAACTATATTTAGCTTTGTAACAAATATCCAGGCTATATTCCAGAGTGGCTGAACCCTGCATTCCTACCAGAACCTTTCTGGATTAGTATTTCTGTGGAGAACTCTGGAACATATTAATAATTGTGGAGGAGTTCATCACTGTACATTGAACATCATAGCACTGTGTGGTAAGTACTAAAGATACAGAGATGAAATGGACTCATCCCTGGTGTCCTCAGAACTGACTGCAAGACTCCCAAGGATACCAGAATGCATGCACACACAAACCCTTCATATAGAACATTTGCATACGAACCATGTATACCCTTTATAGATGTAAGTCATCTCTGATCACTTATAATACCTACTACAAGTAAATTCTGTAAAGATAACTGTCGCACAGTATAGTTCAGGGAGTAATAACAAGGAAAATAGTACAGGTGATTAAAAAAAAATTCCAAACTACAGTTACTTGAATTTTTGGGTGTAGAACCAAAGATAAAGAGAACCACTTATACACAGAAAACCTGTCCCAGGCTGGGTGATGACAGTCAGATAAAGCTTTCCAGAGGACAGAAGAGAAGAGGCCTGAAGAGGCCTGTAGGGTGAATAAAGGTAGAAGGGAGAAAGGGGAGGAAGGAAGGTGAGGAAAGGAGATAGAAAGAAACTAGGAAAGATGACTGTGTGCAACCCTACAGAGCCTGGGTTACTGAAGAAGGCATGTCTAACACACTGCTGTATACTTATCTGCTACAGGCCAAAGCTTAGTACACATGGGTCTCTGGAAAATCAGTAACCAAGGAGTGAGTATTTAAGATTAGTAATCAAAGCTGAAACAAAGGAGAGGACAGTACAAGCCCTGATCTTCACACATGAAGGACCAAAAAAAAAAAAAAAAAAAGAACTGAACACAGACTGTTTTCTTGTCACTGTTCTAGGACTGAGCAGTTTAACAACTACATAATGCTGGCATTGTCCTAGGCATCATATGTAATCTAGAGATGATTACAGCATATGGGAGAATGTTCTCATATTATAAGCAAATACTACATCACTTTATGTAATGGACTTGCACATACAAACATTTTGGTATACTTTGAGGGGACCTGAAAACCAATCTCACAGAACTATCAAGAGACAGCCATATTGCCCATCCTTTTCACAAAATTCTCCAGAAAACTCAAATTAATTCCATGGGGAAAATCATGAAAGTATTCCTCAGAAATATCATCTGTACATGTTGAGAATTCCCTTTGTCTTCTTGAGCTGCTTTCACTGGGGAAGCAGTGATGGTTGTGAACATGACAGAGTAAGAAGATAAGCATACCTTCACTCTGCTTGCCACTCTCCAGGCATAAGTCTATTTGTTGGCACAGCACCCTTTCTATTTTTTGTTTGTACAATAAAGCATATGACCAACTTATACCTACTTTGAGGAACTACTATTTTAAGCTATTCTGAGACAGATCAAACTACAGAATACTAAAGACACTCCCTAGACAATGCTTGACAACACTAGAGTTACCTCTACTATTACTTAAAAGAACAGATTGAAATGTACAAACCTTTTGAAGATATGGCCAGATTGACATTATCACAATAGAAAAACCTGCAAAGAGGCAGACATGTATACTTGCATTATAATAATTTTATCACTATTACAGGCATAACTTTTAGAAATATAGCACAGATTTTTAAAATATTCTGAGCCTGAAAATTCATACACACAAATGCTTAATTAATCAAGCAGTGAAATCTTAACTCTAAGAAAGATAACAAACTCTAATGTAAACTAGAAATACAAGGTAATTATACTCCCTTACTTTGCCTGACATAGCAAGAGCAAAGACTCTGCCTCTCTTCTCATATCCCTTGTTGTAAGTGGAAATTACTGAATGCCTTGCTGAGCCTACATGACAGACATGAGTGAAGGAAAGGCCATGGTTGTCGGAAGGATGTGCTAGTCATCTGCGCTGTTTAAAAGAGCAATCCACTGCAAGAAAGATAAGGAGGGAACACCATTTCAAGGAAGTAAAATGAACTGAGAAACTTGAAGATGGTCACACTATAAAAGCAAATTCCTGGTTTCTGATAGGCTTTCCCACTTAAGAACTATGATAGAAAACTCTTGCACTATTATTCAATATTATCTTTAATCACCTTTCTGAAGAGATGGAGATTAAATCCAGGGCCTCATGCATTTGAGATAAGTACTCTACCACCCAGTTACAATCCAACACTATTTGTCCATTCTAAATGTCAGGCAAATCCAGTCAGAAATTATGGAAAGCCTAATTTTAAATGTTTAGCTTTACTGCTGGATGTGGTAGCCCATTTCTGTAATCTCAGCACTCAGGAGGCTGAGGCAGGAAGATCAAGAATTTCAAACCGATTTGAGTCACTGATTTACATAAAAAAATGTATTAAGGTATGACTCATATCCAAATGACTCACCCCTTTAAAATATACAATCCATGTAAGGGGGTAGGAGAGGGCAATAGGAGAGCAACTATATTCAAAATGTACTGGGGCTGGGAAGATGGTTCAGTCTTTATAGTGCTTGCTACACAGGCATGGAGACCTTAGTTTGAACCTCCAGCATTATATAAAGGCCTCTTGCAGGGGTCATCATCCATAACCCTGGTGCAAAAGGGAAAAGAGTCAGGCAGGTCTGGCTTTGTTCACTAAGCATAAAGCCCTAAAATCCATGTGTCTGGTACTATCTATTAGTAAGTACTCTTTATTTCAGAAAGTATTTTCTTTGACTAGAAGAATAGCTCAGGGATTAAGGGCACTTGTTCTTCTAGAGGACCTAAATTAAGTTCCCATCACCCATATGGTGGCTCACAGCTATCTGCAACTCCAGCTCCCAAGTTCCAGGAGATTAAACAGCTTCTTATGACTTCCTCATGTATACACATAGTGCATATACAAACATGCAGGCAAAACACTCATTTAGATTAAACAAATGCAAATGAATTTTAAGTCTATTTTTTTTTAAGATAGGGTCTCACTATGTTGTCTTGGCTGTTAAGTCTATATTCTTGCTTTTGTTTTAATTTCATTATTACCGAGTTTGGGGTGACACACACATCTATATGAGTGCTGGCACACATGTGGAGGACAGAGGAAACCTTGCAGAACCCTGTAGGTTCCAGAGATTGAACTCAGGTTACTAGTTGAACTCAGTGGCCAGGCTTGCATGGCAAGTGCTTTTATCCACTGAGCCATCTTGATGTCCCCAAAGTCAGTTTTGAATTATCAGTTTCATCTTCATGTTTTTGTTTTACTTTGGGTATGGGAGTCTTAGGGGTTGAACTCGTGCCAGGGATCACTCTACCACTGAGAGATGCACCTAGCTCTCTATGTACTTGGAATTGAATTGACTCTGATGAATAAAGAAATTAAAGAACAAGCTGGGCAGTGGTGGTGTACACCTTTAATCCCAGCACTGGGGAGACAGAGGCAGGAGGATCTCTGTGAGTTTGAGACCAATCTGGTCTACAAGAGCTAGCTCATAGTTCCAGGACAGCCTCCAAAGCCACAGAGAAACTCTGTCTCAAAAAAACTAAAAATAAAACCAAAAACAAAAAAGAAGAAGAAAGAAAGAAAGAAATTAAAGAACCATTTCAGAAGCTGAGGCAGGAGGCAGGATGATTAGCAGTGTAAGATACAGAGTGAAACTGTCTCAAAACTCTCCCACACAGGGGATTTAAAAAAGAGTACACTTTACAATGAAGTTACATCAAGTAAAATATTTAACATGCCAGTTAACATCTGAAATAATTTTTTCTCTTATTAAACTTGAAATTGTTTCTTAGACAGCTGAGTAATAAAAACTAAATGTTTAAAGGAAGGAAAAAAAAATCATTCCCAGCACTAGAGAAGCTGAGTAGCATAATCCTGAGTTCAAGGACAGCATCCGAGACATAGTATTTTTTTTTTTTTCTAAAAAGATAAGTAAAAGGGCACACCTTTAATTCCAGCACTTGGGAGGCAGAGGCAGGTGGATCCCTGTGAGTTTGAGGCCAGCCTGGTCTACAGAGTGAGTCCCAGGACAGGCTCCAAAGCAATATAGAGAAACCCTGTCTCGAAAAACAAAAACAAACAAACAAAAACAACAACAAATAAAAAGTAAATAATCTTAAAACTACCACAAAGCTAAAGCATGTTTTTCTGAACTGTAGAATTGTGTGTAACTTCCAGCACTTACCCACACTGCTGAGAAACATAGTGAGGTAGAGAATCCTAACAGATCTCCATCTACTCCTGTAATGCTCTTGTGTTTCTACCATGTCCCATTCTCTAGGTGGAAAGAAGAAAAGGGTTAACAGGTTGAGTGTCCCTAATCTCAAAACTCCAAATTCATGTTACAGTAACTGAGTGTGAGGAATCTACCATCTGACCTCATTCAGTGAATTACAGCAAGAATGCACATGCATTAAGACACTCTGTACCTGCTGGGTGGTGGTGGTGCAAGTCTTTAATCCCACCACTTGGAAGCCAGAGACAGGTGAATTTCTGTGAGTTCAAAGCCGGCCTAGTCTATAGAGCTAGTTCCAGGACAGCTAAGGCTGTTTCACAGAGAAACCTTGTCTCAAACAAACAAACAAACAAAACAAAAAACAAAAAACAAAAAAAAACAAAAAAGAAAAAACCAAAACAAAACTCTATACCATCATCTCCTTCAAAGAGCCAAGAACTGGAAAATCACAAGCATTTCAGATAATACACAAGGGCTGAACTTCCTGGTCTTTAGGGGCAGGTATTATGCATTAATAATTTTACTCTGTCTTCTCTAAAGCCATAAAAATTATATAACAGGCATAATTTATTAATATTGGGACCTCTGAGTAAGCATTTTAAATTTCACTGGATTGTATAAGCATAGTAATGCACCACTTGGAAAATAAGTAAAGCATTTTTCAAAGCAATTTACTGTTTTTTCCCTTTTCAAGTTTTCATGTTTATATGGTATGCATGTGGAGACCTGATGGCAGATATAGCTAGTCTGGCATACCAGGTTGCTCTAGGAATCCATTTCTGAATTCTAATGCTGGAATTACAGTGGACCATCATATCCATCTGACACATAACAAGAATTTCTGGGAATCCAAATTCTAGTCCTCTTGATCACTCAGCAAGCATTTTAACCACTGAGCTCTACTTTTCTATTACTGAATTCAATAGAAACTTGTTAATCTAACAGGATGAATGAACACATTTTCCTAAGAAAAGTTACATAAACTAGCTACAAGAAACAGAACTCCCACAAATGAAATATATTAAAAATTAATTACCAAGTATGGTAAGATTGGAAAAGGTTCTTGCCTGATGACCTGAATTCCCTCCCTAGAACCTACATGGTGGAGAGTACTGACTCCCCCAAATTGTTGACTGACCTCTACAGATATACCTTGGAGCACTCGTCTGCACACAAACAAAAAAATGAATGAATACAGTAAAGATAGATTTTTTTCAATAATTACTCTCATATTTCTGGCAAGTCCTACTTGATGGCAGTCTATTACCTTTGCTGTGAGCTGTTCTGACTGGAATGATGTCACCTAAGACACTCCCAGCTTGGAGATTCATGGAGCACTGACCTTTGCTCTAACATGAATTGCCAAATAAATTTGAATTGTGGATCAAAGAGCTTATGATGATAGAGCAGACTGGTTTTATATTCTGGATAATTATAATCTGTACTAAAATTAAATATATTAATTGACAACCTGCTTGGTGAGTGTTTATGCTCATTAAGTGATCACAAAGGTACCAGATGGCAACTTATCTTGTGTGAGCACTACTCTTTCTGAAAAGCAAGGCATACTTAACAGACAAAATGCCTACTTATGGTCCAAGAGTATTTTCTTTTGGAGAAAGGGTTTGGTTGGTTTGTTGTTACTGCCACCAATGTTTTGTTGGAATAAAGTCCTTCATATAGCCCAGGCTGGCCCCGGAGTCTAAATTCCCTCGCTTCAGTAAAGTTCTGTACCACAGTATCTATATGGTCCAACACTATTAAAAAATAGATCTTGATGTTGTCAAATTTAATTACCAATGAAGAAGCTTTCTTTTTTATAAATGGCAGAAAGGGAAAAAGAAACATGCTTTAGATCTACTGTTTGCCAAGGATATTCATTACTAATATATATTTATTACTTTATTATGTATATGTGTATAGGTTTGAGTATAATATTGTGATCTACACACAGAAACCTTTTAATTGTGATATAAAATATCTGAAAAAAATGCTATAACTCAAGATGCTTGTATTACAAAATCAACACAACTGAATTAAATGAGTATCACTGCAGTTAACCACATATTGTGAAAAGCATGCATCATCAGAGTGTGACCTCTCATATCAATTTAATACTTAGTATTATACTTTCAGTGACCCATTACTATTCTCTGGAGATTAGAAATTAAACACATCATTTTACAAGAAGTATCAGGACAATCTATATTTTCAATTAACTATTTCCCTAAGCTCTTTCTCAGCTAGGGAATTGATAAGTAAATTACTTATGTGAAGAATGGTAATAAAAAAGCTCCAGTGACTCTAACCTGATTGAAAGGTCAGTTAATGAAAACAAAACTTTCCTAGTCTAAGGCAGTTACAAGTTCAAGGCCAACCTTGGCTGTGTAGTGGATGTAGGGCAACCAAGACTACAGAGCAAGAACCTGTCTCAAAAAGAAAATAAAAACAAACTTTTCTTGCCAACCTTGAATCCTAGCACTCAAGAAGCTAAGGCAAAATAGGTGTGGTGGTTTAAGCCTCAATGTCTCAGCACCAGGCTGAAGGATCAAAAAAAAAAAAAAGGAAAAAAAATGGGGAAGATGCTGAGATGTCAAGATCAACATCAGCCTGGGATACATAGCAAGATTCTGCCTCAAATTTTATTTAATGAGATTTCCTTCACTTTTTAAATTTGCTTTTTATTTTATATGCATGGGTGTTTTGCTTGCATGTATGTTTGTACACTGCACCAAATATAGGCAGTGCCCATAGAGGCCAGAAGAGGGTGGCAGATCCCCTGGAAACAGTTACAGAGTTATGAGCTACCATATGGATGCTAGGAACCAAATCTGGGACTTCTGTAAGAGTAGCAAGTGCTCATAACTGCTAAGCAATCTCTCCAGCCCCTAATTGTCTTCTTATAATAATATCTCTTGAAAACTGAAGGGATGAGAAAATTTAAAATTAGGATTTAGTATATACCGTCTATATACTGGATGAAAACAAAAATGCTCAAAGTTTGGTTGAAGGGCTATTTGAGAGCAGGATAACTCCCACTGTCTAAATTCTAATTGCAGAACAAGAAACTCACATTGATATTGAAAGCTCCAGCATCCATCCTTCTAACAAATGATGAAGTCTTCATTCCTACTCATTCGTGGCCTGGCAGCCTGCACTTCTGATAAACTATATTAGCATTTCTCAATATTACTCATGTGACAGTCTTATAACCAAGAAAGAAACAGTTCACCAATCCAGATTGTGAGAAAGCCCATAGGAATACTGACCTAAACCTAAGAGTTAATTGTAACATGAGCAAAGATAGGTCCAGGGACAATTTGTTGTTTTGTTTTGTGATACAGGGTCTTTCTATGTAGCCCTAACTGTCCTGGAATTCACTACATTGACCAAGCTGGCTTTGAACTTACAGAGATTTGCCTCCCTCTGCCTTCTATAAGTTCTGGGACAGTTCTAAGCTAAAGAGTTAAAACAGGACAGAATCAACACATGAACAGTGATTGTCTTGTATATATAAAGTGTGTGTGTGTGTTTGCTTATTATATTATTAAAACAACTAGAGAAATAGAATACAGAAAATAAATTGTATAATACTCTTGTAGTGGTACTTCTTTTTTTATTTTTTCTTTTTGTATTGGTGTTTCAAGTAGTATAATAATGATGGAGTTATATAAGGGATTTTTCCCCCCTTGGGACAGGCTGGCTTTGAAAACTGAAACTTCAGTTTGATAAAAGGTGTGTGTGTGTGTGTGTGTGTGTGTGTGTGTGTGTGTGTGTGTATGTAAAGACATTTGATTGGTGTGGAAAAGACTAAATGAAAAGGTATTAGGTGCTCACTACACTGTTATTTCAACTTTTCCATGTATTTGAAATCTTTCAAAGTATTCAAAGTAACAGATTTTACTTGTTTTAATTTAGAAAGCTAACCAGTCACTTATCTTCCTGTTTTATCATAGTAGGAACAACAGAATGGGGCTTCAGTCGATTTTCTACATGTCTTTTATCTTTTTAATTTTGATGACACAAACATGTCAGATGGCTGAGACTGATTTATACAGGTTCTTGCTTAACCAGGGTGTAAGAGGAAAACATTGCAGCTGGATGTGCTAGTGCTCACCTTTAATCCCAGTACTCAGGAGGCAGAGGCAGGATGACATCTGAGCTCAGCCCAGTCTACAGAACAAGTTCCAGGACAACAAGAACTATACAGTGAGACCCTATATAAACAAACAAAAACCAAAACAAACAAGCAAAAGAAATACTCTACCTACTTCCAAAGGGATTGGTTTAACTTTTATTTTCTATCTACTATCACTGCTACATTCTGGCATTAATTTTCCAACTGGAATTCTCTTCCAAGTGAAATTGCAGTGGCCTAACATTTCCATAACCACAACTCCAAATGACAGAATGTTTAACAAATCTGTAACTTGAAATCCAGGAATAGTACACAATATACTGGTGTGAACTGAGCACCTGAGAAAACCTGAACAGGAATAAACCCAAAATGCTTCATTTTGGATTCAGTGTATTTTCTTGCATAGAAACACTGTACTGGTGAAAGTCCAGCTCTAGACTCAGTTACTGAAGTACAGATCACAAAGAATCAGAGCTATAGAGAAAGCAGGAGGTACTTCCTGAGTGGGCAGCGTTGTGTAGAACTGGAGAAATATAACAAATGAAATGTCCTATAAAGGAGTGCACATAGGACAAGCACATAGCACTTACTGGATATTGTTCCTGTATTACTTGGGAAGGAAAGCAGGAAAACCCTAAGTTCAAGGCCATCCTCTACCATAGAGTAGCTTGTAAGCCAGTCTGAGCTCCATAATGAGAACTTGTTTGAAAGAAACAAAAAGGACCTAAGCCAATTAGATCAATAAATCATAATCAATCACTCTTGTTAGCTAGGAAGGGCTGTTAAATAACTAAATTAAAGTTTGTGCAGTAAAGTCTATTGCAACAGACCAAAGCTGCAATAAGAATTTGGAGTTCCTGAAATATTTTAAGAAACTCTAAGGTTGGACTAGCAAACTATTAATCTTCAGGTCAAATCTAGACACCATCTGTCTGCAGCTTGAGAGCTAAGACTAGTTTTTCAGGTGACTATTTGTTACCAATTTGATGACAGAACACTAACTTCAAAGTCCAATTCTCTCATCAATAGAGAGAGATTTATTATGACTGTATATTTTCTCTTGTTGACTAAGTGTCTACACTAGCCTTGACTTTGCCTTTTGGCCTGAACAAACCTAAACTATCTACCAATGGGCCATTACAGAAAGTGTGCCAACCCCTATCCTCTTAAATGAAACTAATAGAGTAGGTCAGTTGGAAGCACTAGACACTCAAGAAAAAAAAAAAAAGAACCTAATTCAATTAGATCAATAAATCATAATCAATCAATCATATTAGCTATGAAAGGCTGTTAGATAACTAAATTGAAGTTTGTGCATTACAGTAAAAGAAAAATCTTGTCAGTCATAACTAGGGAATCTAATTAGGATTTTAAAGACAGCACATCTTTTGACTTGTTCTGAAAAAATTCCTTTTCTTGTTAAAATGCTAAATATAAAACCTCAATCTAACATACTTTCTATGAACAGAAAAGTCTGAATGTAGACAGATCCTAACATAATCATTTATTTTTTAAAAAGCTAAGAGTAGGAGAAAAAAATTTAAATAGGCTTGTTTTGATAAGATCACATCATGTACAAAACCAAAAAGAAAAAAAAATCAACATAAAATTGCAATACATGTACTCTATTTAGTAAATCAAAGACCATGGGGTTTCAATGTAGTCAAAATAAAGGACTCATGATGAAGGTAGATAAACGAGCAAAAAATAAGATTTAGCCTGAAGTTTAACTGTCCTTTTTAAAAACCTACTTAATAGAGTTACTATGTTTTGGTTGATGTGGCACACATCCTGGTAATTCCAGCAGTTTCGAGGTGATATCAGTAAGGCCAGGAATTCAAATCATACTTGGCTATATACTGAGGTTGAGGCCAGTCTGAGTTTCAGGAGACCGTATCTCAAAATATAAAGCAAAAAGTGGTGGAGATAGTTCAAGAGGTAAGGTGTTTGCCCCCAAGCCTGAGGACCTGAGGTGTGTCCCTAGGACCCACATGGCAGAGAGAATCCAGTACCACAAGTTGTCTACTCAGACCATGACACGTGCCACCCACTTCAGCCCCCAAATTAAATGTGATTCAAAAAAACAAACAAACAAACCACCCTGCTTCAAAACAAAAAACTCAATAAAATAACAATGTTATGTAAACAATACATACCAGTGCAGTGAAACAAGTCCAAACTTTTCTAAATCAGAGCTCATAAATTAGGATCAAAATGAGAATTACTAGAGTAATTACAAATTAAAGAGTAATCTTTATTTTGTACCTGTGGCATTGAGCAAAACATGAGCCATTTTAAACAGGTTTATTTGCAAAGTATCAGGCAGGTCAGGAAAAGGCCAGTACCCTCGAGTGTTGGTTAAAACCATCATTTGGGGACTTCTGCGAAATGTGGACAGTGGTCAGCTATAGACGGTCAACAGAATGCAGCTGTAAAAGAGGCAGCTAGGTTCTTTAATTTTATGCAAAACTAAGGAAAAGTAGAATGTGGAGAAGAAAATGAAGCTCTCAAGCAGGAAGGAACTCCCAAAACAGGACTCGGGCAGGAGCCTCAAGGCTACAATGTTCTAGTACACCGGCTACAACGAGAAGCTGCTGTGACCTCTGACCTCGACATGAAGCATCCCCTTCCCCAGCGTCCTGGGTACCCAAGTTCTCCAGGTACCAAACTTGGTACCCGGGTGACAATTCTCCACTATTCCCAAGTAAACGCGATAATCCGGGAGCCTGTCCTGAGCGGGTCCGGGGACGACCGCCGGGCCCACGCATGAGCGACCGGGTTTCGGGCCAGGGCGGTGGACACGCACAACCGAGCCAGTCCACCCGCCTGCTCACCTGCTTCCGGGCGAGCCGGGGCCCAGGAGAGGCTCCCGCTCAGCCTCGCTTCCCAGGCTCGCCATAATGACAGCCCTCACTAGGAAGCGCGCCGCCAGCTCTCGCGACACCTGCTTCTCCTCGGCCCGAGCTGTCAAAACATGCCTACGTCTGCGCGTGCGCGCCCAAGGGCCGGAAGCGGACCGGCTGTCTGGGGGAAGCGTGAGGCAGGGGCCTCGCGGGAGGCGGCAGTGAGGGTGCTGGGGAAGGAGGCCGGAAGGGGCGTGGCGAGACAGCACCGCCTGCACGGGGCGTGTCCTGAGGGAGCCCCGCCCCGCGCTTGTCCTCCTTGCCCGCCAGGCTGGCAGCGATCCTGCTGGTCGATACCTGAGGACATTCAGCCCTTGGCTGTCCGAGCTGAGGCTAAAGTCCGGTCCCTAGAGCGCGGAGAGCAGCGGTGCCAGGAAGCTCGGTGGGCTCCCCTTCCAGTACGTCTGCGAGAGGCCTGTAAGTAGCCGCCTGTGCGCTCCCGGCTTCTGCTGTGTACGTGCAGGGCTGCATGAGCGCAGCCGGGTCCTGGTCCGAGGGAGGGCGTTGGCGACCCCTGCTCTCCAACCCTGCTGACCCTGACCTGTGGTTCCTCACCTGAGGGATCCGAGGGACCGGACTGAGATGGCAGCCAACCGCTGCTGTCTCGTTGGCTCCTCACCTGAGGGATCTGAGGGACCAGATTGAGATGGTAGCCAACCGCTGCTGCCTCGCTGGCTCCTCCGGACTGAGGGACCAGACTGAGGTGGTAGGTAGCCAGATGCTGCTGCCTCGCTGGTTCCCGGCCCCCCACGAGCCTCAGCTTTGCAGAACTTGCTTAGCTCCAATTGGCTACTTTCATCATAAGGAGCATGAATGTTCACTAGACTCAGATAATGTTTACTTCCTTGTCGTTGTATGTTATTTTATATCCCTATTGGACTTGTCAGCTAATAGGTGCCAGAAATCATTGTTTCTAAACTCTTTGCTTCCTCTAGATAACATTGTCCTGTGATTTCATTGGATCACATCTTCTAGGAGATGTGTAAAGCAGACACATTTCTACTTTTCAATGACCTGAGGTCGAGCTAAGTTACCTGAAATCTCTGGGAAGGTGGCAGAGTTGGGACTCAGTCTCAATTGTTTTAATTAGTATTAGCACTTTGCATTTGTCCTGCCCCCATAAGAGCTCTCTGTTGTGTTGCCATCACCTCACCTCTGATCTTTCATTTGTGATCAACTAGCCAATCGGTGTACCCCACTAGAAAACACCAAAACTTGAAATGTGTCTTCTGTTAATTATCTTTTGAGTCCCGCTGATTGATACTTGATCAGATTCAGTCTTGCAGATTAATTTATAGTAACAAAAATATGCAGATTCCTTTGATTGGTTTCAAGAATATAGATGGGTAGAAAAGGAAGTATTTTCCATGATATTGCTTCCTGTGTCATAGTTACCTGTTCTAATCCCGGAGGCTGGCACAATTTTCGGTGCATATAGAATGGAAGAAGAAAATTTTAACTAGCATCCCACCAAAAAGAATGTAGTGTGTGTGTGTGTGTTGAAAGAATGCTTATTCAGTTCCCTCATTTCATTCCAATAATTTTCTAAAAAGGAGAGGGATTGTCTCAAGTAGACTAAGAAGTAAAAGGCAGAGGGAATAGGTAAATTGTCGAGGGTTGCACAACTAACCAACAATGGCTTTAAAAAAATGGAGCTTCTCCTGGCAGTAAAACCTGTGCTGTTTACCACCAGGTTCCCTGTATCTTCTCATGTTTCTTAATATCAAAACAAGCACTCAGTATTTATCCAATTGAAATAATTTGTTGTTATGTTTTAGTTCAAGTATAGTTTCCCACTTGACAAGTTGAGGTGGCTCACTCAAGGTCATACAGCTAGAGGAGAAAACTTAGCTCTTTCCACTACTGCCTCCAAGTGATGACTTCAGACCACAAAAACACACGTAGTGAGTACATAAACAACTCCTGAAATCTAAACAGACTCTTATTTCTCAGAAACATAAATAGCAATCAACAATCAAAGCAGACATGGGGAGGAGGACTCTGTGCGTGCGTGTGTGTGTGTGTGTGTGTGTGTGTGTGTGTGTGTGTGTGTGTGTGTAAAAAGCAGCAAAAGTTGAAGAGATGAAATAAAATCTTTTGCTGATTGAATCAATCAAAGATGTAAGACTTGTGTATTTTCCCCCCCATCTTTTCTTTTTTTTTTTTTTTTTTGGTGATGTTAGGGATTGAACTAAACCTTCCAAATGCTCTACAGGAAAATTATCAACTAAGTAATATAGTAATATAACCAAACCCTTGTTGGGTTTTATTTGAATGATTGTTCAGAATAGATAGTTACATCCTTGCCAAGTACATACTTTTGTACAGTGTAAGAGTAAAGGTAATTAAATTGGTTGCCAAAAAGTAGTGGATTTTAACAGTTGATATTTTTGTGATTTGAAAGTATGAAATGGCTCAGAGTTAAAAGCACTTGTTGCTCTAGTAGACAATCAGAATTTGATTCCTAGCATTCACATAGTAACTAAAAATCATCTAATTCTAAGGGATCTGATGCCCTCTTTAGACCTCAGTAGGCACCAGGCACATACATACATGCAGGCAAACACTGATACACATAAAATAAATTAAAAAAAATATGAAATTAAACTTAGATCTCTTTGGGCAGCAAGAGGGAAGTTATTGTATATGGTGGATTAAAAATTGCTACATTCTAATTTTTGTTTTGTATGCAGGTGCACATGTGCTACAGAATGTGTGAGACAGAAGACAACTTACAGACATGAGTTGAAATTGTACTTATGCCTTTGAGATACATGAAAAAAGTCTAGGAAGAAAAAGTAATGTTTGTTTAAATACTTAGATATCAGAGTAATAAGAGATTAAAGTACTAGATGGAGTAATATTAATAGATGGGAGTATTGCGTTAGCAATAAAACTCATTTCTAGGAAAGGCATTTCATTCCTTGGCACTGTGACCATAGTTCTATTTTTGTTCCACTTTGTTTTTCCCCTTCCTACTTGCTATTTAAATATGTAGGTGGCAGTAGTGTTCCTTTCCCTTTTGCTTGGTACTTACTTCAAAAGTGGTTTCTACAGGATATCAATGGTGTCTTGCTTGACCTGAGGGCTTTTAGTACCTAGAGCAGCTCCAGATGGCACTTCTTTATGGTAAATTGGTGTTGTCTTTATTCCACTAGAAAATTCATAGTTCTGGAGAAGCTGAATATGGCCAGCACTGTCTAGAAAGATGTTGTCAGAGGCTATGGATATGGCTCAGTGGGTAAGAGTACTTTCTACACAAACAGGTGGATCTGAGTTGAAGTCCCCAACGCTTGAAAAAGGCTGGGCATTGCTGCATTTGTCTGTAACCCTGCCACTATTTGAGAAATGGAAACAAGGCTGGCTGCCAGCCCTAGCTCTGGGTTCAGTGAGCAACCTGGTCTCAAAACTGATACAGAACGCCTAATGTCTTCTGGCTACTGCATCTCCACTGACATGTGACCCTATCATTTAGAGATTTAGAAAACCCTTCATTTTATATTGTTTTGGGACTGAAATGTAAGAAGATCTGTATAGTACTGAATTTTGGTACCAATTACATAATAAACTGTGTGTGTGTTTGATTTGTTTTCTGTTCTTCATCTGTGAATTGCTTGCTTAGTAGGTAAATGTAGCAAGGAAATAAATTGCCTCTAAGCTTGGAGTGGTCTATTACATAGGAAAGCAAGTAATTTAGGCATGTTTTCTAGTGTACAGTTGAAAAGCAGAAAGGACTGAACAATTTGGTATGTAATGAATATTGTTCATTACAAAATATTTGAAAGTTTGTTATTAGGTGCTTTACCACACATGCAGAAATTTATGTAATTTTTTTAAAAGTTCTATGAGCATGTTGGGGCATGTTGGCATTTGCCTTTAATCCCAGCACTCATGGACCAGAGACAGATCTCTGTGGAGTTTAAGGCCAGCCTAGTCTTCATAGTGAATTCCAGGACAACCAGGGTTATATAGAGACCTTATCTCAAAAAAAAAAAAAAAAACCTAACAAAATAAAATAGAAGTATACTATTTCTTGTTGGATAATACTTGGTTTTCTTGATCACATGGAATTGACTGTCAAGATGCATGGATATTCCAAAGGAGAATGTTGACTCTAGTGTACAATACTAGAAAAAGACAGAACCTGTATTACAGTAGCATAAAACTGTTCTGCAGCTTAATATGTACAAAAATATGGGTAATGAGTATACAAACCATTATAGAAAAATTCTAGTAATATAATTTAAATCATTGTTAGCTTCCTGTCTATGTGACAAAGTACTTAGAAAAAAGTATTTTATTTTCTATTACTATGAAGGCACCATGACCAAAGTAACTTCTAGAAGAGTTTATTTTTGGGGTTTACAGTTTCTGAAGTTGCGCCAGTAACCATTGTAATGAAAACATGGCAGCAGGCAGGCATGGTGCTGGAGCAGTAGCTAAGAGAAGCATGAGGCAGAGAGAACTAACTAGGAATGGTGGAGGGTTTTAGAACCTCAAAGCTCACCCTCAGTGTCACCCCAACAAAGTCTCCTAATCCTTCCCAAACAGTTCTACCAACTAGGGTCCAAGTATTCAAATGCATGAGCTTATGGGGGTCATTCTTATTCAAACCACCACAAAAAGTATATTTTGGCTTATGATTTCAGAGGCTTTAGTTGGTGTTCATTTGACCACTTTGCTGTTAGGCCCATGGCAAGGAAGAACATCATGACATGGAACATGGGGCAGAGAAGCTCCTTTTCAGACATGGATTGGAAAAGAGGTAGATAAAAGGAGGACATAGAGAAGAGAGGGAGCCAGGCTCCTGATATACCTCCAGCATACATACCCAGGAGCTAAACTACCTCATAAGGTTCTACTACCACCCTATAAGCTAAGCACCAAGCATTTAGCACACAGAGGACATTTTAGATCCAAGCCATAACAATAACTGTTAATCACTTAGGATTATATTTCCTTAAACTGTGTCTCCATTCCACCCGGTATATCCAGCACTGACGTCATTGGGAGTATGGGATGTGTGTGTGTGTGTGTGTGTGTGTGTGTGTGCATACACATGCTGTGCTCTGCAAGTGGATGCCAGAGGACAACTTACAGAAGTCAGTTCTCTCCTTCCAGCTAGGTCCTAGGGAAATCAAAGATGTATCAGGCATGGTGGCAAGTGCCTATACCTACTGAGCCTAGATTTTTGTTAATTGGGTAAAGAGTGCACTGGCTTTCTGTTTCCAATATAGTGCACCTTCAATAGTTACAATCCATTTTGTGCAAACCACCTAAATTAAGGGTGTGAGTTCACAGATGCCACTGTCCTAGATGCAAGTCTAACTTCAGGCGTTTCTAGGCTTCCAGAAAGATAACTTCTGACTTGGCTGTAGAAAAGTTTAAGTTTCTTGTGGATCAATAATTTGCTAGAATGACTGATAGCTCTCTGGAAAACCCTAAACAGTGCTTATATTAAAGGACAGATACAACATAAAAACAGCCAAAAAATGTTGAGATGCCGTGGTCTCTACGTATGGATCAGGGAGTATTTCCATCCAGACCTCGAGATATCTGTCTGGCCAGGTTGTGGTGCATGCCTGTAATCCCAGCACCCAGAAGGCAGAGGCAGGCAGATCTCTTGATTTTGAGGCCATCCTGGTCTACAGAGTGAGTTCCAAGACAGCCAGAGCTGTTACATAGAGAAACCCTGTCTTGAAAAAAAAGGGGGGGGGGATATCTGTCCAACAGAGTACCACTAAAGCCAATATCCAGAATTTGTATTGGGATTTTATTAGTCAGACATGAAAACTATGTGGCCCAACCATACAGCATAATGTTTAGTCCTCTTCCTCTGAGGTTAAGCCGGCCTAAGGTTCCAACCTTCTAATTTTGTGGTTTATCTTTTTGATGACCTAAAACTATTTGCAAGCTCACTATGAGTCACCTCATTTAAATAACAGTTATAACTCAGGAAGTTCTTAAGGTTTTAGGAGCAAGAACTTTGGGAAGAACTGGGATCTTATAGAATCTAAGACCCTCACATACTCAGTGTATACCCACAGCCTCTCAGATACCTTTTTTTTTTTTAAGATAAGATCTTATTGGTAGCTCAAGGTTGTCTTAAACTCATGACCATCTTGCCTCAGCCTATGAGTGCTAGGGTTATAGACACCTGTGTCACTACACCATGCTAGATGTATTTTTGGTTGGTTAGTTGATGCTGGGAATGGAACCCAAATGCTTTATGTATGCTACAAAAGCACTGTACTAAGATACATCTCCACTTTAATAGATCACAATGACATTTCTGTCTCTGTCTCTCTATTTTTCAAGACAGGGTTTCTCAGTGTAGCTTTGTAATCTGTCCTGGAACTTGATCTCTTGACCTGTAAAGCAGGCTAGCCTTGAAATCAGAGATCCACCTGCCTCCTGAGTGCATGCACCACCACTGCCTGACTCCCCCCCCACACACACACATTCTTAAAAAAAAAAAAAAGCAATTTAAACACACATATTCTCTCTCTCTCTCTCTCTCTGTGTGTGTACTTACATGATTTTAATAATTGTTTTAAAAGTAGAATATATATACATATATATATACTTACATGATTTTTATACTTGTTTCAAAGTAGAGTATATAATGCAAATAGCATTTAAGAAGTCATTTTTCCAGTTGCATGTGGTGGTACATGCATGTGGTTCCTGCATTTGTAAGGTGCAGGTAGGTGGATCAGGAGTTCAAGGTCATCCGTGGCTACAAGTTGATTTGAGATCAGCATGAATTATATGAGATCCTGTTTCAAAAAGAAAACCATAAAAGCCAATTTCCATTTACCATTTGTTTAATGACTAAAAAAACCAAAGTACTAATTGGCATTTTCATTTGGAGGTTTTTTATGTTTGCCTTTTTTTTAGTAAGAGTTTTAAGTGAATGGAAGAATATAAACATGATTTAAACTGTAAAGAGCCAATTGGCTTATAAACAAGTGGTTGCTCAGGTCTATGGAGTTTGTGGTTTTAGTAGGGGTTTTCCCCCCTATTGGTAGAAATATGAGGATCTGATCCTGATATTAAAATGTAAATCCAGACATATTCAAGGGCTGAAAAGTAACAGTTTTTTCTTTCCATGCCATATACAGTTTCCAAGGTAGTCCTTAAGATCATTGCTTTCTGTTGCTCACAGTGTTGAGTTTGGGCAGGACCCATGATTTTTACCTTCTAACCAACAGGAAATGGAAACATTGATTGCACTCACACACTTGCCCTTTCTTCAGAGGTGTTGGAGACCCAGGGCTCATTCTCTCTCTCCAACTGGCCATGAAGAAAAGAAGTCAGCTGCTGTTTCTGACTTGTATGGAGAGAGCAAAGTCAGTGTGAGATGAACTGTGTGGATAGCCTCCCAGAGCTGAGCTTGTCTTCTGGCTGACAAAGAACAAAATATGAATAGAGTTGCAAATATATAAATGCACCCCAAAACCTAAGAGCCCGAAAGCAAATTCTTCTCCTTGAAGCTTCTAGAAGAAAATTTCATCCAGCTGACGTTTGATTGAAGTAGACGAGGCCCTGAAGTAGAGAACCCAACTAGATGGGTTATTGCAAACTAATCCTGGAGGAAAAGGCAAATGAGAAGATTGAGAAGAGGCAAAGTAGACTTGGAGATGTGTTCTTCAGTTCTTTCTTAAGATCTTGGGAAAGCTGTTCCTGGTGGCTTGGGCCTGTAATCCCACCTCCACAGGAAGCTGAGACATAAGGATGTCAAGTTCCAGGCCAACTAGAGCAATTTAGTAAGACCTCTCAAAATGAAAAATAACTAAAAGTCTGGGAAGGTAGCTCAGAGGTAGCCTTTGGCCTAGGAAGAGTAGTATGAGCAAAGTCCAAGGCCCACCCTAACCCCCTCCCCCACAAAAAAATAGGTCTTAGTGAAGCTTTTGGGTATTTAAATTATGGCCCTTTTTGAAGATTGTCATACTTCTGCGCTCTGAGCTAAGATAACTATGATGGGGTAACTGTCAAGAGGAAAAGAAAGCATCAGTTTAGTTGTAAATTCTGTAAGGAGACTGGCCCCCTAATGTAGCTGGCTAGTGTGTGGTACTCCCACAACTGTCCCTGCTTTATTTTCTTTCTTCCCATGCTCAAAGTCAGATACCTTCAGTTCCTTTCCACATGTCACATAGTAAGCTTAGTGTGTACCGCTCTTCCAGCTCGACTGTTAGGGACAGATCTTAAAGATGGTTTGGAACAGGTTCTACACACAGAAAAAGGACCATTCTTGTTGGCCTCCAGATGGAGAGTGTGCTTCCCCAGGGCTTGTCAAGCCCATGGGAGGACCTGTGTTAACTTACATGGGCAGATGCCCATGGAAGTGGTTCAAATTTACAACAGGGAGGAAGGCGTGAAGAGGAGGAAGAAAGAGTCTGGTGTGTGGAGGCTGCTGAGCAGTGGGAGTGAATTCATACCCTTAGGATGCCATACCGAGCAGAAAGCCTCCAAAAAATCCTCCAGTCACTAAAACATTCTTCTTCACAAAGGACACCAACTCCTCAGCTTTGCTCTTAACCTCATTTGGTAGTTGGTTGCTCTTCCGAATTTTCAGTTGCTCCTTGGCCTTTTTCATGTCCTTCTCTACTCGCTTCCAGTCAACTTTGATGTAGCCAGTATGATTTGCCAGCTGAAGGAGAAAAAAGCCCCCTCCCACCGCTGTGGCAGCCAGCTTCCCAACTTTCTGGAATATGAAGCCAGTGCACCAGCCGGTGACACCACCGATCAGGAGCTGAGTTGCCACGCTGTACTTCTCGCCTGAAGGCCGCGTTTCCTGCCCGAAAAGCTTGCGCCACCAAGGCTGGTTTTTGGCAAATTCTGTAAGATCCAGTGCCTCATAAGCGTCAAAATGCCCTTGACTGCTTGTGGCCATTCCTGTGAGCTGGTTGCGAGAGGACAAGCGCTGAGGGTCAGCAGGGCAGGAGATGGAACGTACCGCGGTTATGGTGGTAGTGGTCGTTGTCATTGCCACCTGGCTTTCCGCACGTGGGCAGGTGTATCCATTCCCACGGCCGCGGCGAAAGAGGGCAGGTGGAGCACACGCCTCAGCTTTCCCTCAACCCTAATTACGTCACAAAGACACCTTGACCTTTATCAAGTACTTAAATTGAGTGTACTAAGGCTCAGTAAAGACTGAAACTCACCCTGTTGTCTATATTCTTAAGACTGGAAAAGTAAAGTATATTATAAATACTAGTTAGAAGATTTGGTGGGTTTTGCCAAAGAAAGTGGATTTCAATTGAATACTCATGCTAAAACAAGAGATTTGTTACTAAGTGCAACAAGTTTACAAAAGTGAATTTCAAACTATTACCACAAATGTTTGTTTTATACATTCAGCCAGAAGCATTTTACAGGAAATTCAGATGGATGATTTCACATTAGAGGTGTTGTTTTTTTTTTTTTTTTTTTTTTTTTTTTTTTTTAATAGCAGAGACACTCTCAAAGTTGTGAATTTATGTGGGGCTATGCAGGTGATTGCAACCATGATGTGTGTATTGTGATGATACATCTGAGACTGAGACAAGTTAAAACTTTTAAGGCAAAAAGAAGGGCATGTAGGTTGTTCTGAAACAAAAATTCATTGGTGATAGAGGCTTGCTGTACAGTGTTTGCTTGGAAGAGTGTCTTCACAGAAGTCATCATGATAGCAAAATTGTGGTTCAATTACAACTATACACCTAGGGCTGTCATTACTGTAGATATTCCTAGAAGTAGGCTTAATGCAGAGCTTGGGCTTGATGTTTTTTGTGATAGCCTAAGGAGGAATAGTATGTAGTAAATATTTTCTCCTGAGAATTGTGAAACAGTATAAACAACTTGCTTTGCTGGTTCAGTCCTAAGAAGGTAAACAGCCAGTCCAGTTGACTGTGGGTTAAACTGTACAGTATAAAAGAAAAATGTTAAGGCAGCCAGGGGTGTTGCACACCTGAAATTCTAACATTTGGAGAGCTGAATCAGAAGGAATGCCACAAATTTGAGGCCAGCCCTGCTCTACCAAAAAATCATGGACTACAGAGCTAGATTCTATCCCAAAAAGAACAGAGAACAAAACAAAGTCAGGCTTGGTTCACACCTGTAATTCCAGAGCATGGGAGGCTGAGATCGGAGGATTAGCAATTCAGGGGTAATCTCAGCTACATAGTGAGTTGAAAACCAGCCTGTGCTTCTTGAGACCCCTCCCCTAAAGAAAACAAAAACAAAAACAAAAAAAAAAGAAACATTAAATTGAACTTATCAAAAAAAAATATATATATAGGAGGGATGAGCAAAGGGGTCAAGACTGTGCTGGAGAAATCCACAGAAACAGCTGACCTGACCAAGTGAGAGCACATGGACCCCATTCATAAAGCTGGGGAACCAGCATTAGACCAAACTAAGACCTTTGAATGTGCATGCCAGTTAGGAGGGCTGGGCAGTCTATGGGACCTCTGGCAGTGGAACCATTATTTATCCCCAGTGTACAAATGGCCTTTGGAAGCCCATTCCACATAGAGGGATACTGTCTCAGTCTAGGCCCTCCCCCAAATAATGTGACAGACTGATGAACCCCCAAGGAAGGCCTCATTCTCCCTGGGGAGTAGATGAGCAGTGGGATGGGGGGGGGCATGGAAGTATGAGAGGGAGAGGGAACTGGGATTGATATGTAAAATAAGATTTCTAAATTAAATAAGTTTAAAAAAACAAAATATAGATGAAAGTTCAAAACTTGAAGCAGTAGATATTATTAAAGATAATTGATGAAAATATAAATTTTCATTTTTCTTATATCCCTGTGCAGTTAAACTTGAATCTGAATCAAGTTTGCCCATAAATCAGAACTGTAGCTTTCCTTCTTGTAATATCAGGGATTGAATCTAGGGTTTCAAGCCTGTTAAGCAATTGCTGTTTTAGCTACATCTGAAGCCCAGAACTATATCTTTTAATTAAGAAAAGTTCAGGTAGATATTAAAATTTTCTTGGAAATATTTGAGAAATAAGCTGGGTAGTGATGCCATACACCTTAAATCCTAGCATTCAAGAAGCAGAGGCAAGGAGATCTCCTTAGTTTCAAGATGACCAGGGCTACACAAAGAAACTCTATCTCGGGGGATGGGGAGACCACACACACAGAAATTTGAGAAATAGTATCCAACTAGAAGCACTAGTTATTGTTGTTGTTCACTGTTACAAAGAGTCAAGGTGGTGAACCTGCTAAATCTTGGACATTATGCCTGAAGTTGAAGCTTGAACTTCTTCCCAGATAGCTATGGCCTAGGATAAATAACTGTTTTCTCTATGCCTCACTTTCCTCTGTAGACCTCAGATACTCCTTTTTCGTTTTGGATTTTGTTTTGTTTTTAAGACAGGGTTTCTCTGTGGCTTTGGAGGCTCTCATGTAACTCACTCAGTAGACCAGGCTGGCCTGGAACGCACAAAGATCTATTTCCCTGTCTCTGTCTCCCAAGTGCTGGGATTAAACTTGTGCATCACTACCACCCAGCCCAGATAATCCTTTTTCAAGTGTTCTCGGATAGCTTAAATGAAAACATGTGGCCGTGTTGTAATTTAAATAGAGCCTGGCTGATACTACAGCACTATGTGAGTATCATTCCTTACTTATTGTTTTCCAATACCAAAGATGCTTATATCAGTCCCTGTACTCAATTTGGAAGTACTTACCCTAGAAGAATTCATCATTTAGTGAGACTTTAAGGCTCTTCATTTCTCTACTTTTAATTCCAGGTTATTTCTAAATCTTCTATTTGTATTTTTTGTTTGTTTTGTTTTTGAGACAGGGTTTCTCTGTGTAGCTTTGGAGTTTGTCCTGGAACTCACTCTGTAGATCAGGATGACCTTGAACTCACAGAGATTCACCTGCCTCTGCCTCCCAAGTGCTGGTATTAAAGACATGTGCCATCGCTGCCCAGCTCTCCTATTGTATTTTTTCAGGGGCAAATTCAGGGATTTACTCTTCAGTCTTTGATTTTACCTGGTATTCAAGTAAATGGTTAGAAAGTTGACCTGCTACCTTAATAAAAGTAAAACTATTTTGAAGTCATTTTAAATTTTACTTCCAGATGCTGTTTGGTATTCATGGGTGTAAGCAAGTTAGATATTCTATACCGGAGACTTCTCCTCACAAAACTTTTTATCAGAGGATGGGGAAGACCAGAAGATCTCAAGAGGTAGTACGTGTGTTTCATGAATGCTTGGCTGTTTGTTTATTTTGTGTGTATAAGTGCTTGCTTGAACATATGTGTTGTACCCTGAACCATCTCTCCAGTCTATTAATGGTTATATTGAATTCATTTTAATACACAGTTAAACATAAATAATTTGGCTTCAAATCTAGATTGGTTTATTGAGGAGATTAAATACTGAACTTTTTTAAAAGTCCTCCTTTTATCCTCTTAGTGATTTCTGTACATTTTAGCTTATAGCATCATGACTTGGATGCATGCAAACTTTTTTTTTTTTTTTTTTTTTTTTTTTTTTGAGTCTGTTATTGCTAAGCTGGTTGAAGTTATGTCTGGTTTCCAGGCATTGATTTTCTGAATTTTCAGTGGCTGTGAAACTGGAATATACTGGAGCTCATGGGAAATTCTAAGAAATTTTATTTGTAAGATTGTCCCCTTTCATTTTGAATACTAAATGTGTTCATTACTTCTGAATAATTGAGCATGGCCTCTTAATTGAATTTGCTAATTTTAATCACTATTCATCCCACATAACACAGTAGGTGTATTGGTTAACATAAAAGGTAATTTAAGAAAACCTTTTTGTCTCCTAACAGACTCTTTGAATTCAGAAAGATGATTGGAAATCGAGAAAGGTGCCAGAATCTGGTTTCAAGTGACTATCCAGTACACATTGATAAGGTATGCAAGGACTAACAGTGCTCAAGTCCTGGAGAAGTCACTCTGAGACAGTACCACGGAGTATCTGTGCATATGTAAAGAATGCTATCCTACCCCAACAATGTTTTCACAATTTTATTCATAAGTAATGGGGAACATGTGTGTAGCATTTGCCTGAATACATGGTATTTAGGCTGCATTTTTCTGAGTTTCATTTTGTATCCTTAGGCTCCTGAGGGTTCAATTATTCAACATTAAAGAAGAATATTAAAGAAGACTAGTAAGTATTAAAAGAAAGCAATCTACCTGGAGAATCAGCACATTAGGCATTATTTGCAAAAATAGCAATTGGGAAGTACTAGGAAGCTATAATAGAATACATTGCTCAGAAAATGCTGGAAAGAAAATGCTCTGAACTTAGAGAGGGAGAGAATATTTTTGAAATTTTTTCTTTCATAAGAAATCAGCTGCTTTTCTGTAAAATCTAAGTGTGTGTGATTGAGTACTTGAGTACTTTATAGGAGAAGGGAAATAGATGAGTGAGTTTTGCAATCCATCCCTGACCTCTTGCTGAAGTAAGTATACTTGCATCTTTTATATATTTAGATTTCCTTTATAAGAAGATTTCTCCCTGATAAAAACCAGAAACTTGTAAATGGAAACCCTCTTTGCACCATAGATGTGACATCTAGACTATATTTTAAGTTTTCTTTGTGGTTCAAATTTTGGTGAATATTTCTGTTTTTCTCTGGACTTTTTTAAAAAAAAAAAAAAAAAAAAAAAACAAAAATTAAAGGCTCTTGGGGAAGGCAGTGGTGGCTCACACCTTTAATCACAGCACTTGTGAGGCAGAGGCAGGTGGATTTCAGTGAATTCAAAGCCAGCCTGGTCTACAGAGATTCAGGAGAGCCAAGGCTACACAGAGAAACCCAGCTAAGGCTACACAGAGACTCAATTCCCCCACCCTCCAAAAAAAAAAAAAATTTCAGGTTTTTCAGGCTGAGGAGATGGCGTAGTAGGTACAATCTTCATTATACAAGCATGAGAACCTGAGTTAAGATCCCCATTACCCACATAAAAGCCAGGCATAGAAGTGAGTTCCTTTAACACTAGCACTGGAGAACCAAAGACAGAGGAATCTTGGAGATTGCTAATCAGCTAGTCTAGTAGAAACTGCAAGCTCCAGGTCAATGAGAGACTTCGATGCAAAAAATACAGCAGCCTGGTATGAGGCCATATGCCTTTAATCCCAGCACTAAGGAGGCAGAGGCAGGTAGATTACTGTGAGTTCAAAGCCAGCCCATCTACATAATGAATTCCTAGGGCAGCTAGGGCTATATAGAAAGACCCTGTCTCAAAAAGCAAAATATAGGAAACAAGTGGAGTGCACTAAAGGAAGACTACCTGTGGTGACTTCTGGTTACCACATACACATGGGTAAACATGCCCACCACATACTGACTTGGACAAACACATAACACAGGCAGTAAAGAAATACTTACACAAGTAAACATATCAGGAGTATAGCCTTTTAAAATAAGCAGAGTGTGACAAGTAAAAATCAAGTCTCCATCTCTGCTAGTCTCCACCTCCTGATCCTGTTTCTGTGTTCCCAGAGAGGATAGATAATCTTAACAATTTGAGTTAGCCAGGCAGTGGTGGTGCATGCCTTTAATCCCAGCACTCAGGAGGCACAGACAGGCGGATATCTATGAGTTTAAGGCTAGTCTGGCCTACAAAGTGAGTTTCAGGATAGGCTCCAAAGCTGCAGATAAACCCTGTCTCAAAAAACAAAAACAAACAAACAAAAATCCCAATTTGAATTAGGCATATCCCACCCTCAGGATGTGTCGTAAAGTCTACTTTTTTAAAGTATAAAAGGGAATGTTTTAGATTTGTTACTTAAGTATTTAACCATTAACTATCAGTTACCTTTTTTAAACCATTTCATTCCATAATATTATTGACCCCAAAGACACATTAACATTCTAGCTATCATTTCCCACTGTTTTTGTCCCCACATACTGGCTGTTGCTGGTTTGCTTTTTGTATCTATGTAGTCTCATATTTAGGTCATTCTTTTAAATGGAATTATGTAATATGTGGTCTTTGGTGTTTGGCTCTTAGAAAATATTTTTAATTTATTATTTTTTGTTATTGTGTTGTGTACATGGTATATGTGGGTGAGCACACATTCCACCTCACACATGTAGATTAGAGGACTTTGTAGACTTCCTCTTTTAGCTGAGTTCTGGAACTTATCAGGTTGCCAGTCTAGTAACATAAGTACATTTATCCACCGAGCCATCTCTCTTGCTTCTCTTACTATGCTTATAAGGCTTGTCCATGTTGTACTATGTATCAGTATTCTTTTCTATGTCCCTATGATTTCTTATCTACTCATAAATTCATAGACATTTGGGTTGTTTCTACCATTTGTGGGCTATTATGAATAATGCTACCATGAATACTCAGGTAAAATGTTGTGTGAACATTCTACACAAAGTAGTTCTATTTACTATACATGTTAAATTTATTATTGGTTCATATGGTACCACTATATCTAACCTAGCAAAGCTCCAGGCTATTTCACAAAGTATTAGCACCATTGTATATCCACAGCACTATACAGGAGTCCCAGTTTGACCAGATTCTCACTAGCACTTGTATTTTTCCCAGCCATCTTAATATAAGTATCTCTGTACTTTTGACTTGTATCTCCCTAATATGAATGATATTGAACTTCTTATTATGTTAGGCCAGTTGTTGTATCTCTTTAAATCGTTTGCTCATATTTTTAGAAAGTTTTACTTGTTTTTGATTCATTTTATTTGTTTAAAGATTTATTAGGTATACAACATTCTGCCTGCATGTATGCCTGCATGCCGTAAGAGGGCACCAGATCTTGTTATAGATGGTTGTGAGCCATCATGTGGTTGCTGGAAATTGAACTCAGGACCTCTGGAAGAACAGCTAGTACTTCCAACTTCCGAGTCATCTCTCCAGCCTGAAAGCTCTGTGTGTGTGTGTGTGCATGTGCCTGTGTGTGTGCATGTGCCTGTGCACGGGCGTGCACATTAAATCCTATATAGCTGGAATTACAGTTGTGGGCCACCTGGCATGGGTGCTGGGATCTAAAGTCTGGTCCTCTGTAAGAACTGCTGAACCATCTGCCAGTCCCCTTTGCTCATTTCAACAATTTGATTATCTGTTGAGTTGTGTCTTGCCCTGTGCTTTATAACTTTGTATCTGTCTTAAGATGTTTTTATTCCTTTGCAATCAACGGTACATTGCGCATTGAATTCTTGCTCCTTCACATTAGTTGTCAATACTCTCTGTATTAGATGTTTAGTGAAAAGTTAGTTTGTGATGCTTCTTTTATCAACTTAGTTTTCTAAAATATATGAGGAAATAGGTTTTGTTTTGTTTTTGAGACAGGCTCTCACTATGTAGCCCTAGCTGGCCTAGAATTCACTATGTAGACCAGGCTTGCCTTAAGCTCACAGAAATCTGCCCACCAAAGATGTGCACCATCACACCTGGCCAGGAAATCTTAAGCTATAGTAAACAACATAAAAATCTATTTTTTTTTAATTCCTGAGAGTTCTTTCTCATTTTTTCTACTAAACCTATGTTCATTCTCAAAAACAAGAGGGGAGAGAGGTGATTCTTTGGTTAAAATATACTTTACACATTTATTTATTTGTTTTTAAGTTTCATATTTTTTTTTTAATTTAAATTTGAAACAAGGTTGTTTTACATGTCGATCCCAGTTCCCTCTCCCTCCCATCCCACCTATCCCCACCACCAAACCTCCCAGCCCATCCTCTTTCTGCTCCCCAGGGAGGGTGAAGCCTTCCATGGGGGATCTTCAAAGTCTGTCATATCATTTGGGGCAGGGCCTAGGCTCTCCCCCCCATGTGTCTAGGCTGAGAAAGTATGCCTCTATGTGAGATGGGCTCCCAAAGTCCATTTGTACACTAGGGATAAATACTGATCCATTACTAGAAGCTCCATAGACTACTGAGTCTTCCTAACTAACACCCACATTCAAGGGGTCTGGGTTGGTTCTATGCTGGTTTCCCAGCTATCAGACTGGGGTGCATGAACTCCCCCTTGTTCAAGTCAGCTGATTATGTGGGTTTCTGCAGCCTGGTCTTGACCCCTTTGCTTATCACTCCTCTCTCTCTCTACTGGATTCCAGGTGTTTGGGTAGTGTTTAGCTATGGGTGTCTGCTTCTGCTTCCATCAGCTACTAGATGAAGACTCTAGGATGGCATATAAGGTAGTTGGCAATCTCATTATAGTGGAAAGGCATAAAGGTAGCCTCTCCACTATTGCTTAGATTCTTAATTGGGCTCATCCTTGTAGATCTCCTTTAATCTGTAATGGCTCCCTCTATTATGGTATCTGTTTTCTTTTACACCTCTATTCTTTCTGAGTCTCAATCTTTCTGTTCCCTCAGACTCACCTCTCCCCTCCTCTTCTCTCCTTCTCTTTATCCTAACTCTCTCCCCTCCCTCCATGCTCCCAATTTGCTCAGGAAATCTTGTCTCTTTCCCCCTCTCCAGGGGACCATGTATGTCTCTCTTAGGGTTCTCCTTGTTCCCTGGCTTTTCTGGCGGTGTGAATTGTAGGCTGGTGATCTATATCCATATATGATTGAATACATACCATGTTCGTTTTTTTGTGACTGGGTTACCTCACTCAGGATGGTTTCTTCTAGTTCCATATTTTTCCAGTGAGTAGCATTCCATTGTGTAAATACACCACATTTTCTTTATCCATTCTTCAGTTGAGGGGCTTCTTGGGTTGCTTCCAGGTTCTAGCTATTACAAATAATGCTGCTATCAACAGAGTTGGACAGATGTTCTTGTTGTAGAATGTGTGTAAGGAGTAGTTTTTCCTGCCATTAGACCCACTGCGGGGCCAGCCCCAATTAACACACCGAGACTCTGTATTTGAGATAATGCTATTGGCCAGTTACTTGTTTCTTATCAGCTACCTCTGTCTTAATTATT